ATTTTTTTGTACTTTTAAAAAATAGAATCCTTGTCTGTATCAAAAGGTACATAAATATATATGGTGGGCATTTTGACACTCCCCTCAAAATATCTGAGAACTCTTTATTTATTTATTAACTAATATTTTAGCACCAACCACCTCAAAAAGAAGCAGCATTAAGTATCAATCAAACACCTAGAAAATACTATAATTGCAAATAGTTGCCTCAGTAGAAGTAAATGATGACTCACTACTACCGCCAATGTGATCAAATTTATTCCGTGAACCATTGCTTGTTCATTCAAATACTATCTCTAATGATGAAGCGTGGATCACTAATGGCAGGAGAAGTGGTAACTACGATTCATTTAAATTATTATGCTAAATAATTTCTAAGAAGAATAATTCTAAAACGGGTACCTTATTACTAAGGAAAAGCAACTCTTCCCTTTTGTCATTCTTCCAATACGTGACTTGGCCTCCGAAGAGATACACCTGTTCAAGGAAAATAAAGTAGAATGAATACAAGAAATAGTTAAATATTGCACCTCAAGTTTGGTTTCAAGAATCTTTCCGACTACTTTGTTCAATTGATTCACACATTTTTTTTTGATAATTGAGTTCAAATATTTTAGATTCATTTCTCTTCTTTTCAATACAAAACACACTCAAATCTATTCCCTACTACAAAAGAATGAATTGTTCTTTAATCAAATTCACGCAAACTTAACGAATAAACATAAAATTTATTAATCAAAACCGTTACAAGACTAAATCATCAGAGTTTAGTTTTCATTACACGGGCAACTATATCATCGCAAGATCCAAATCTATAAAACGAATAATTAACCGAACAAATCACGTAAATCTCTTTAAGAAAAAAACAAAGGCACTTCTTGCAATGCGGTTAACATTTCAACACAGATTTCAAGATTCCGGACTAAATTCACAAAAGAAACAATCTCGTTCCGAAAATAAAGGAAGCAGAGACAATAATGATCGGATAACAAAATGGAAACGATAAATCGTGGAAAAGAGAAAAGAAAGAGAGAAAAACGAGAGAAAAAAAACCTCAGCAGAGTAACCGCGAATCTCCCTCAATATGACCTTATTGAGGCCATTGGTGCCTTTACAATGCTCGACATACACGTTCTCTGTTGCCATTGATGCCTTCGAGATATTGAATCTATCTTTCAAAGAAATAGAAAATGGAAAACAGAGCGAGAGCGAGAAGTGGAGTATTTTTGTGGATTTTCGGAGGTTCTACTAATTAAGGCAATTTTATAGCAGATAGTTGTGACAATTTATCAGATTTTTAACAAATTTATATTTATGAAAAGAAATTATTTATGATTTCATCCCTAAATTATACTACTTATTTTCATTTTAGTACCTTTTTTATTTCACTCTTGTACCTAAATTATTATAGATTATTATTTGATACATCTACGTGCACTAAAACTTACTTGTTTATAAAGATCTTCATCTTAATGAATAATTATTTAATCATTATTTTCATTGAGATTGTTGACATTCGATAAAAATATATCATGGAGATTCATTAATTGATTGAGTAGTTAAGAATATTCATATTATCTTATTTTGTGTGAGATTGGATCTCGATATTTACCTTAAAATCGTAATATCTTTCTACTTAATCAAAAAAATAAAAATACTCATTTCTATGAAATTATACATTATTAATATTTCAAATACTCATTTATTTTCAAATGGATTGATATTTAAAGCACTGATAATATATGTTTGTATACATCGTCAATAACTTAAATGAAGATAAATCATCACAAAATTTTAAAATTATATAACTTTATTTAAATTTATTTTTGATTAAATATCATCATTTGATTTACTAATAACGTATAAAATTATACATTGTCACTTAGTACATCAAAATTTTATTTATTTTTAAATGGATTAAAATTTGTTACATTAACAATATATCTGTTTATACATTGTGACAAATTATTATAACTTTTTAAAACTAAATTCATTAAAGTTTATTTTTGATAATGTATCATCATTTAGATTATTGATGATGCATGTAACTATACAACGTTAGTATATTAAATATGGACTCGTTTTTAAATAAATTAATATTTGATATCGTAATAGTATATATTTTTACACATGGCTATTAAATCAAATGATAATAAATAATTAAATTTATCTTTACGATGTATCATCTTAATAATTGGTAAAATATAAAATTTTATATAATTAATATATTAAATATTTATTTTTTATCATTAATCAATTAAATTAATCATTGTATTGTCGTATTAAACTATAATAAATTTTTAATGCATATAATAAAGAACCCTTTTATCCTGAATTGAGATTTGTGGAGTCGAACAATAATTATTAATGATTGGCCAATGCGTTTTTTCTTCACTTCGCCACTCGAATTTATCAAAACATTCAAAGAATGAAAAATCTCATCATGGTAAATGAGTACAACCCAAAAATTAAGATCTAAAAGCAAAAAAAAAAAAAACTAATCTATCAGATCTTGTTAAACAAGAACCGAGCCACAGTGAAAATCATGTGGATGGAGGCAAGATAACTCCCAGAACTTATAAGTGCAGGTGCAGCAGACTTAGTAGGAGCTGGAGCTTCAACGGCAACAGCAGGAGCCGGTGGTGGTGATGTACTGCTCGATGGTTTAGGCGTAGATGCTGCTACTGGAGGTGGCACGTTGTTTTCCTCGTCACTAGAAGGCGGCGATACTGGGGCCTCTGTTGGTGGCGAAGCAATCGGTGGTGGTGTAGTCGAGTTTGATTCAGGCGGGGACGGGGTTTCAGATGGTGCATTGACTGATGTAGTATTGGATGGAGGTGGTGCATTGGTTGACATGGTCTTGGGTGGAGGTGGTGATGCTGGTGCATTGATTGATATAGTCTTGGATGGAGATGGTGCATTGTTTCTTTGTTTAGTTTTAGTACTTGGGGATGGAGGCGATGCTTTTCTTGTTTTATTGTTAGATTGTCCCGATGGAGTCTGGACTGGGGCTGGGGCTGGGGCTGGGCCGGGGACTTCTTTGCTCGAGTACTCGGCGTTGGAGTCGGTGCTTGTGCTAAGACTTTTCTAGGAGGGGAAGCCTTCGGTGTGGCAGATGGAGGTTGCTGCGACGGAGCGGAAGACGGGCCGCTAAGCGTTATAATACCAGCAATTTGTAATACCGAAATGCTATGGGGCTGCGATTCGACTGTGCCGACCAATTTGATGTCCATGTTAGGACTTGCACCAGCGGGCCTAAAAGTAATTGCACCGTTTCCGTCATTGCTTACAGTCAAGGTAGATCCTTGGTAAAGTGTGGGAAGAACCGTCCTAGACGTCAAGCTTCTTAGCCTTGTTTCGTCATAGTAATCGAGTACCACATGGAAGCTCAGGATTTGCCTGACATCGTTCTCCGCTTGGTAATTGAACGACCGCAATTGATCGTTGGTGATGACGAGGACCGTCACGGCTTTCTGGTTGTTGATTTCGCTCGCCAATCCGGTCCCACTCAGACGGGAATTGAACGTGCTGAACTGGGAGAATCGACTGAGGATCTCGGTGATGTTGAAGCCATGTGTTGTTGATAGTAACACGAAGAGAATTGAGAAGAACAAGAATGAAGTCGACATTTGATTGTACTATATTAAAATGTGAAAACTTTATTTATTATTTTGTATTGGTTTTATTTGTAATGTGCACTGTGAGAACAGTTGCATCAAGCAATGGATTTTATAGCAAAATGTGGGTTCAGTGTGAGACTATATTTGTAGGGTTCTGAGTTAGTATCGGCTAAATAAAGGGTCTCTCTCTCTGGTCAGATAAGACAGAGATCTTGTTTCCGAACTCCATATTGCTACTACTACAAGTGGCTCTCAGTTCTATTATCATGGTGATGAAAAGTTCTTTGGACTTTAAAAAAATTATATTTATATTTGATGTCCGTATTTACATTTAAGGTTAAAACTATGTTTAGTATTTAAACCCTACATGTTAATCTATCCAAGAATAAAATATAAATAAAGAATAATATTATTTTTTCTATATAAAACTTTCGGCCAATCAAAATTTCTTGACAAGATCCTTGGTAATGATAGATACCTGAGATCTGTCAAGGCTAAATCTACTATCATGCAGTCATATTTATTTACTTTATCCGCATATAGATAATAATTATAATTTTGGGTCTTACACTAATATTAAGAGCAAATATATAAACCCTAATGTAAGCATGAGAAAAAAAATTGAAAACTCATTCTCTCTCATTCTTAAACTCATTACTTTTCATTGGATCATCGATTATAATTCTTTGTTCAAATCATAAAGGGTGAACCGACTATATCCATCCCAATTCACATTTACTATTAACAAGTAATTTACAAAAAATTAGGGGCTTAAGCTACAAACTATAACACTCGGCTATAGCTATATCATATGTATCTCATGCTCATTACATTGAGAATATAGTCCTTTTGACAAAATTACGCAGAGTATAGCAGGATTAGCTGACGGATAAAGTAAAAATGGCAACAATATACGGCTAACCTATACACTTTAAAGAATGTTTGTCTGCAAAATTCGTAAAATCTAAACCACTTTGATCTATAATATTCATCATCTGATCAACATCAAATCAAGATATACATTTCTCTTCCTTATTTTTCACCTCCTCTCCATTGGCTTTTAAAAAAGGATGTATCATCATCAAGAAATTAAAGAAAATTCCAAACTATGATTTTCTTTTCACAAAAATAAGAAAGTTTTAAAATAATTTTATAAATTTCAAATAATAATAATAATACTGTTAAATATTTAATAATAGAGTGACAAATATAAAAGTAAATCGAAAGTTCAGTGAGAAAATTGATTTTTTTAGATTTTAGTGACTAAAATAAGAGTGAAAAGAAAATTAAGGGGTAAAATTTATAATTTTAGCCTAATAATAATAATAAATAAATAAAAGCTTCTTTCCTTCTTTCTCTGGTTACTGTGATTCTGTTCGGATCTGTATACAACCCCATTTCTAGGGTTCTCTTCCGTCTTTCTTCGTGTTTCAAATCCCCAATCTGAAATCACCTTTCTGCAAATTTCTCTCAATTAGCCGAAATGAAACTCACAGTCAAGACCCTTAAAGGCAGTCACTTTGAAATTAGAGTTCAGCCCAACGATACTGTAATGCTTCTTTCTATTTCTCACTTCCCCCTTTTTTTTGTTACTATTAGGGTTTAAAAGTTGGCTAAAAGGTTCAATTTTTCCTTTTTTTTCTTCTTGAATTAGGTTATGGATGTGAAGAAAAGCATTGAAGATATACAAGGGAAAGACAGTTATCCATGTGGGCAACAGCTGTTGATTCATAATGGGAAGGTGTTGAAGGATGAAACTACCTTAGCTGATAATAAAGTCTCCGAAGATGGCTTTCTGGTTGTCATGCTTAGCAAGGTGTTTACAAAATAAAAAAATTCTTCAATTAATGTATTTCTTACTGATTGATTTTTAACTTTTGATAGTCACCTGGGAATTTGATTTATCTCCCATGAAAAGGTGTTTTAGGTAGTGCAATTTCTTTAGTTGTTTAATAAATTTGTTATTCTTATGGATGGTTAAATTGGGTAATTGAATTGACTTCTCCCTGCAATTCCTGTTGGCGAACTGCCTTCACTGTTTAATATGGTATTGTAGATGGCTTTCATTGAAAGTTTTAGGCTTTATTCTGCAAAATTTTGAACTGATAGTTGAATACCTGTTTTTGAACAAAAAAAACTTTATTAGCTTCTTCTATGTAGTAGAGTAGTTTGATATTTTAGCAAGTTCTGGTTCACCATGACCTCTGTCTATGTGCTTGCAGTTTTTAGTACTAGTATATTTTAAATTCATTGTTTTTTTTCTTACAGAGCAAGTCTTTGGGTTCAACCGGTGCTTCTTCTGCTCAGGTTTCCATATTCGTTTTGATAATTTCTTCTTATTAAGGTGAGCATTATGCTCCAGTTTGTGTATATAAACAACTTCTTTCTTCTCTTCCCCGACAGCCTGCTTCATCAACTCCCGCTACAACTGCACCTGCACCTGCTTCTAATTCTACACCAGCTGCAGTAGCTCCTGCACAAGCACCGTAAGTTCATTCTGAATATTTTTTCTTCCTCCCGCAAATCCTCCTATGTTACACAGATTTAAATGTGAGTGTCACGTCCAGATATGTGTCTAAATAGACATGTTCAACCCCGTCCAAGTTTCTCTTATGTATTTGGAGGGTCGTATCCTTATATCCATATCTGGATATGCATTGGGCCAGAGTGCTTATGCAAAAATGAAGAATCGGAGTAGTATAAACATCTTCAGCCCTCCCTCCCTTTTCCTTAGATCAACTGCTTTCATCTAACACATCATATTTTATTCTTGTAGGGTGGCATCAAAGAACACCACATCTACTTCAGATACTGTTACAGTCAAGTATGTGGTTCCTGTATATCAGGTCAACAGATTCTTAAAATTATGTGCATGGATCTCCTAATATTGAATCTTGTGATATACAAGTATTTACAACCACTCATTATGACTAGATTTTTGCTTCCTGAGGAAAAGAGACAAGACATAGAGCTGTTAGGTACTCCTTTGATTTCCATTTGGTTGGCATTTCTAACTTTTGGGAAAGAACCTTATTATAGTATCACTTAGGAAAAATTAATAAAAATTGAATATTCAAATTTCTGGTAAGCCAGCTGGAGAGAAATTATTGTATGAACATACCTAGAGGTAGCATTGCTTTTGAAAAAATGTTGTTGGAAAGTGTTGTGAGAAAGTGCATTTGGATTTTTTTGGTTTAAGATTTATGTGTTTAGTATTCTTGTCAAAAAGTGCTTTTGAATAGATAAAATGAGCATTTTAGACATTGATTTTGAAAAAATTGGAAGTTTGGTGATATAAATGAGGGCAAATGAATAATTTTGTCCAGAAGTTCTTTTGGCTTTTGCCTAATGCTAGAAATTTTAGTTTTTCAAAACAACTTTTCAACCCAGTTTGAAAAGCACTTTTGGCCTGAAAAGCTGCATGTTAGCGTTGCTTATTGCTCCAAAAGTGTTTTTCAAAAGCAATGGTAAACTCTTTTAGAACATGTAACTTTTCAGGCCAAAAGTGTTTTTCAACTTGGTTTGAATAAGCTTTTCCATAAGCTAAAATTTCTAGTTTTTAGCTTCTCTAAAAGCACTTTCAAGTAAAATTATTTATTTGTCCTCATTTATATATCAATTCTTATATTGTTTTGAAAACAATGTCTAAAGTAGACATTTATCTACTTAAAAACACTTTTTGACAACAACCTCGAACACACTAATTTTAAACCAAACAATCCAAGCGTATTTTTCGAAAACACTTCCTCACTGCATTTTCCAAAAGCAATACCAAACTGGTCAAAATCATTACTTCACTACAGGATAAAATATGAAGCTCATGTTTGTTCTCATAGGTTGGCTCCACTGAAGCAGTTTTAATCTACATGATTCTAACCCTTCAGTTTCCCACCCCCTGAACTCAGCAGTACAACTGTCAACTGAAAAATAATCTGCCGATTTTTAGATTGCTTTTCTGATTGGTACTCTTATATCAGCTCTTTGTTTTTGTAGTACATAGTTCTCTTTTCTAGACATTGCACGAAATTGCCGGGTGTTATCTGATTGTTCATCCTTCTTTTTTTCCTTAAAAGATTTGTGTATAAAGCTTTCCTTCCATCCCTTCCACATCTACTTTCTGGTATGAACATTTTGAAAGTAATCAGAAAACCTTTTAACTTGTTTCAGTCAACAGTCGGATACCTATAGTCAAGCTGCTTCAAATTTAGTTGCTGGAAATAATCTTGAACAGACTATCCAACAATTGATGGATATGGGTGGTGGCAACTGGGACAAGGAAACAGTTACACTAGCACTTCGAGCTGCTTATAACAACCCAGAGCGAGCAGTGGATTATCTGTATTCTGTATGTCTAAAACCTTATGAATGTACCTAAGGCTAGATTCTCGCATTAAACTTACTATATTTGTTTGGATGTGGTCATTGTGCTATGTTATCTTCAGGGAATTCCTCAATCAGCAGAAGTTGCAGTGCCAGTGGCTGGTGCAGCCCCTACTTCTCCTGTTTCAGGGGCTCCTAATTCAGCTCCATTAAATATGTTTCCTCAGGTAAAACATTAGATTCTTGATGTACTTCAATCGCATAAAGAAAATTTTGTTCATTACAGGGTTGCTGGTTATTTTTATTCCTAACTTGCTGAAATAATACTAGGAAAGACTTTCTGGTGCTGCTGCTGCTGGAGATGGGTCCCTGGATTTCCTCCGAAACAACCAACAGGTGTTGTATCATTTTTTTTTCTTTTTTAACTGAAGATTTTTTTTAGTTATTTCACATATGCTAATTGTATCTTTGCTTGCATTTAGTTCCAAGCTTTGCGATCAATGGTGCAATCAAACCCACAAATTCTACAGGTTTGCATCTCTATGTTTTAACTAGTATTAAGCATCCAACCTATAGCTGGTTTGCGATAAGTCAATTAGACAGGAAGAAACAAAGCACAACCAGGTGATGTACAAGCATCGACCCTAAAACAAATTGTAATATATGAAAAGCTTGATTTGATTGTAAAACCATGTGAAGCTTAATATCTACCAGAAGTGTGATAACACTGCTCAATAACTAGCAAAGCATCCATGATTTTTATTGCTCCGGATTTGATGTGCTTCTTCTGTTGACAGCCCATGCTACAAGAGCTTGGAAAGCAGAACCCACAGCTTTTAATACTAATTCAAGAGCATCAGGCAGAATTTCTTCAGCTAATAAATGAGCCTCTGGAAGGTTCTGAAGGGTGAGTACTTTTTCGATATAGCTATGCCATATAGGTGGACTTAGCATCATCATTGATATTAGTTTAAAGTTGGCGCTTTCAGGGATATATTTGATCAGGCTGACCAAGAAATGCCTCATGCTATCAATGTTACCCCAGCAGAACAGGAGGCCATTGAACGAGTACGCTAACCGGTCGCCATTCTTTTTACTATCTCGTTTCGGATCCCTTGCGAACTTCTAATGATTGATAATTTCTCCTCTCTGTAGCTTGAAGCAATGGGATTTGATAGAGCCCTTGTCATTGAAGCCTTTTTAGCCTGTGATCGAAATGAGGAGTTGGCGGCAAACTATTTACTGGAAAACGCTGGAGATTTTGAGGACTGAAGGAGGAATCTTATCTCCTTTGATTCATAGTTTTGGTCGAATTAGATGGATATGTGGTATCATTTGGCATGTTTGCATGAGCACTGTTGGGGTTTAAGCAAGGAAAACTAAGATGAGTGTTCAATCAAAAAGTGTTTCTGATGAATAGAGGTTTATTTAAATTTCATTTAATTTGTTTGGAGTCAGGTTGCTCTTGCAAACATGCTTAGGAACTGATTATTGTTCATGATATTGATATTCAGAGTGCTTGGATGATCTACATCAACTTAATTTAACAAATCTGGGATCAAAATGATTTTTTTTTATTTAGCGTGTTATATTTTACTTAATTACGAGTGTAAAAAGAAATCCATCAAATTATTTAAGGAAAAATGATAAATTCGTTAAAGATTAAAACTTTAATAGATAGGACCGAAATTGTTCATAGTCTACTTCGCATAGATTGGATGACAATATTTGTTTAGTGTGCTTGAATTATTGAGGTCAGCAGGAACTGAAAAAGTTTAATTAGACCAATTCGAGCTGACTTGAATTTAGAAAAAAAAAACCCAATTTGAAATTTAATCTGATTTTAAGGTAAAATTATGCACCTACTTTATATATATATATATATATATATATATATATGATTTTTTATTAGATAAAATAGGACTTCATTGAAAATAATATATATATATATATATATATATATATATATATATATATATATAAAGATTAGTTATACTATTATTTTTAGGTCATATTGGGTATTTTTCAATTTAAAGTCGCGTCTAATTTGATTCGATCTTATCATTCAAAAAAATCATATTTGACTTGAATAAAAAATATGATTATATAATATCGATTCGAATCAGAATATGTCGAAATAAATTAAAAAGTAATTTTAAATTATTATATTGTATTAGTTTATAACTTTTAATAAACTATTATGATTAAATTTTGATAAATTAAAGTAAAATGAATAATTTGTTACTTTTGGTGAAGTACTACAAGAATTAAAATTAAAGCACAAGTTAAACTACCTTTGGACGTTTTCAAACCTCCAATAAAGATAAAAACTTTCTTCCCCGTTTTGGCCCAATTAAATGCCTTTCTGTTTTTTTCTTTTAAAAAAATAATAATAATTTCGTTGTTGGTAAAGGATTTTAACCGTAAAGCACCCCTTGCATTGTGTTTATTGTTTGTATTGTGATGTCCGTTCCAACGACAAATCAGGGAGAAGACAAAGGGAGAATGAGCCTCCTTCCTTGATTTTCTCAACTGTAAGTGTTTCTTTTTGTTTTAACTGTTCTACAGATCTGGGTTTCGATTATTGTTTGAGGGTAGATATTTTGAATTTGACGTTTGTTTGGTTGATATATCCGTTGATCATCAACTCTGCTAATTCTTTTGTGGTGGGATTTGTTTTTTCATGTAGATTTGGTATGATCTTCTGTTTTTTTTTCTCTCTTTTCTATTTTCTTTAAAGACCCCAATTGATTACTTGATTTCACTTCTGGGATCAAAGGATTATAAAAGATCTTTTGCGATCTGTCAGAAATCGGAAAGTTTTAGGTTTCATCTGAAAGGGAAATTAAAAGATTATTCCTTGTTAATATCACAATTGTACACTGACAAACCTAAATTCTCTCTATATATAGAGAGAGAGTACAGACCCATATGTTTTTGTGTTTGACAATTATGGTTTCCTGCCTGTTCTGATACATTTGAAGGTTTTGTTAGGGAAATTAAACAATTGTATGCTTTCAAATTGTTGGAATTGGTCATTCTTTTGACATTTTTCTTATAAAAATTTCCCGTTGGAGTTGGAATTTGATACTTACCAATCGTTTGCAATTTCCTGTTAGAGTTTGTCAATCTTTCAGATATTCGTATGTATGCCTCAGCAGAGATGATAGATTCCTTGTTTGTTGTATATGCATTTCATAGAGTGAAATTGTATGTGACATGAGGATATCTAAAGTATTTCCAGTGAAATTATCATATATACTCTCACATAGACAGATACACACGCCCTTGCGCTTGCGCACACACTTGGTTGATACTTACCTGTCTCTTTTAACATTTTCTAGCTGGAGTTGATCTTATCTTTTATATGTTCGGATGCATGTCTCAATAGATACGATAGATTTGGTGTTTGTTGTAAATGCATTTCATAGAGTGAAATAGTATTGTGACGTGAGGCTATCTAAAAGTATTTCCAGTGAAATTATCATATATTTACTCTCTCTCACGCACACACGCTCTTGATCGTGTGCACGCACTTGGTTGATACATACCATCTTTTAACATTTTCCAGTTGGAGTTGATCTTACCTTTTATATATTCAGATGTATGCTTCAATAGATACGATAGACTCCGTGTTGCATATGCATTCATAAAGTTAAAATATATGTTGCATGAGGCTGTCTAAAAGTATTTCCGGTGAAAAAATTCATATATATATACATACATACATACATACATATAAACATGAGCGCACGCTTGGTTGATTGGAGCTCTGGAGTCTGGACTATTGTATTTTAGAAAGATATGGTTTTTCATCTTCTTTTGTCTTTTAGCTTTTTCTTAGCTCCGGTGATTAAAACAACTTACTTCATGGTTTCAGGTCACATTGGTTGAGGACTTTTCAATCTCTAAGCTATGGTTCTCGACGTGATTGTATCTTCTCCCCTTCGAAAGTCTGCATCAACGAGGAGGCAATTCTCAAAAGATGATTTCGGGAACTGTTCAACACTTGTCGAGAGGCATAGGTTCCTCTTAACAGCATTAGGATTGTTGGCATTCCTCTGCACCATCTACCTTTACTTTGCTATTACTTTAGGGGCAACGGATACATGTTCCGGGTTGACGGGACCAGAGAAAGCAACATGTAACTTGCAGCATGCAAGGTCCACCATGTCACATGGTAAACTTAAATTCCTTTAGCACATGTCACAAAACTACGTAACAAGTTGCTTTTATTAATCAAAGTATTATGTTCTTTTTGGCAATTTAAGGGGATTTATACTTTAAGCATGGTAAATGTATGGCCCTCTTTTTTTTCATTTTTTTTTTCAGAATATACAGAAATAAGTCCTAAGCTAAAAGCTATATCTACATTAAAAGTATCCCCTGAAAGCCTTAAGAATTCAGAATTTGAAGTTTTGGTGTTATCTATTCTAGCTACCTAATGCATGCCATATACTATATAATTTAAGGGGTAATTGTGGCAAGTTGTGCATGGAACTGCTTGACAATAGTGATTTTAAAAACAATTTAATGAAAAAAAATAAGTGTCCAAACTACACTTGAAGTTAATTTTAAGTGCTTGAAGAATTTTTCATTCAAAGTATACTTAAAAAATAACTAAAAATGAAGATAAATCGGAGTTTGTTATAAAATAAAGAAAATGCGGAGAAGTTAAAAGAACAAGAAAATAAGAGATGATGATAATGAGAGAAATTTGTATTATATTTTTTAATAATGATTATGTGTAATACTCTTACAAAACTTCATGTTTATAGTCACATGTATGAGATATCATTTATTGGCTTAATATTGCATTTGCATTTTAATTAAAGATATTTTAATTAAAGATATTATATAAAAAAAGATATGTGCGTTGTGAGAGATTTTTTTAAAAATTTCTTTATGTATAATCGATTCTCGAATTTAATCTAATTTTTTTTTCATGTTTTATTTTTTATGGAAATATTTTTATTAATTTTGGATGATTATAAAGGATAATTTGTTCGAAAGACATTCAATCATTTGACAGTGAATACTCAAACATCCTTGTAGACGACTTGCTTGAACTCAGAACATCTAAAGATATCAATCATCCTTTTAATCATTGAGGTCGATTGATTAGTGGATGTATGATTGTAAAAACAAGTGGTACTCGTGATAACAATTCTAATGCAAAGTCCTAGACTCAGACCAAGGGAGATGCACCAATAAAAAAAAGCAACTTTAGAAGGCCAAGTAAGAAAGTTACATGAGCAGCTAAAATAGATATGGGATTTGAGTTGGTCCATGATCCTGTGGATAAGTGGATGTATGATATCTTGGGTGGTTTATCCCCTTCATATTTTTTTTTTGTTCCTTTTAGCTGTAAATAATTGAATCCTTAGTTTTCATATTGTGCAAGGCATCCACAACAACGTCTACCGAGGCAATCGTCCCACAACCTTAAAGCCCCTACTTGGGTTATAAGCATGCATTACCAAGCCCGGCGAATAATTGGGTTGCTTACACTGTATTTAATCAAACCATTTCGATAAAAACTGAGCTGTGTGGGATTTCCTTCCTTTTTTACTTTGCGGTCTTACAACAAACATAAAATTATTTCTTTGATTAGTATTTGATGATTGGAAAAGGTCCAACTATATTAACCGTTATCTGACTGATATAAATATATTTTTAATTAGATACAGAAGTCGAGCAAAAGTCGGGTCTAAATCAGATAGTCAAATCATTGGGGAAAAAACTTTTTCAATCCCTATCTTTTGTGGCAATACATGTTAGGGTAAATTATAAATTTATTTACAAAATTTTATTTATTTTTATTTTATTCATTATACTTTTTTATATAAAAAAATCATCATTAAACTTTGTACATTAACTTTTTTATTAATCGGATGTGATTAAAGGGATAATATTATTCGAAAGACATTCAATTATTTAACAGTGAACGCACAAACACTTTTGTAAACAACGTGCTTGAACTTGAGATCTTTAGGGATAACAAGCATCCCCTTAATCACTGAGATCGTTTGGTTCGTGTATCTATGATAATATTTTAAATAAATATGTTTGATATTTTACAAATGAATTGATGTGTTGTTAACTTGTTTAATAATAAAGACTAACAAGTGTTGGTGTTGAATATAGAGGTAAGTTATATTTTTTGTATTTATGTTATTAAGAATGCAAACATAAATCCTGAACACTAATTAGTAAAGTTCACATAAAAATTAAAAGAATATTAATATATTTTTATTCAATTGACGTTTTTTTATAGTATATCGTAGAATATTTTTTTTTATAAATCTAAAATGAATAAAAAGTAGTAATTAGTAAAGTTAATATAAATTAAAATATATTAAAATATATATTATCTAATAATTTATAGGTTTGAAAGAAATTTATCATAGAATCATAAGATTGCTTTGAATTTCATATTTATTGGCTTGGCCAAGCTTGTTACTGTACCATAGTTATTCGGATCCAACCCTAATTAGCGGGACAATTCCCAATAAAACACAAGTTCGATTAATAATGAGCACTCTATGCATTAATTACTAATCAATTGTTATCATAAATGAATCCTTAACAATCGTAGCAATAGCTAATATCTGGTACCAAAAGATCCAAAACTTTTAAATTTGTGGACACCAACGAGATGATATTATAAAGTAGGGCCAAGATTTATGTAACCCTTAACGTACGATTAGAAAATAAAAACCAACATTAAATACAGTACATGAAAGACGTTGAAAACGAGAAAATATTGGGTTTGAATCAGGAATGAATACAGGATTCGAATTTAGTGAATTCTAATTCGATCTAATTTTATTAGGTTCAGTATTTTTAAACAAGAATTGGATTCATATCTAATTATGTTAGATTTATAGGATATAAGTTTGGATCGGGTTGAATTTTAGTTTAGGGTTAAAATAATTGAATCATTTAATCAAAAAAATAATGTAATTGTATCTTATATATTTAAAGATTAGTTTTTTCAATTAAATTCTTATTTAATTGAACAAAATAAAGAAATATATATATATATTTGTGTTGGGTCAGATCGGATGCAATTTTATCTTAGAAGATACTAATTTTGGATCCAATGAATCACAATTTAAACTTAGATTGAATTAAATTTCAAGTGAATAGTGTACTTTTATTAGGTCAAATCAAATTGGTCGAATTCTTGACTTAACCAAGATCATGATCATCCCTAATTTGAGTCGACAAAGAGCGTAAATAAATAGAGTAGGGCCAAGCAGTGGATCACGACGAATCATGCACGCGGTTTGGTTTTGCATGAAAACGATGCCCTAGGAGAAGAAAAACATATTGATTTGCTTTTCAGTTTTCTTAATTGGCTGCACCATGTGTGTTCCTACCACCGGAGTGGATATCAATCTCTCCATGAATTTTCAATGCTATGCAAATTAAACATGTAAAGTCTAAAGGTAGGCCAACTAATCCAATTCATCCTTTTTTTTAATAGATGTTGTGATTGGTCGGTTGATTAAATTACTCATATTTATTTCGTTATAGATCAATATATAAAAGTATTTATTTTTAGTATATGTTATAATAATTTTAGTATTAATTTTTAAAATATTTTTATTTTAACACTGAAACTTTTATTTTTTATAGTATGAGGTGATTATAAGTTATTATCTGTTCAGAATCTTTCTTAGTCATTGACAACACACACAAAACTTATAAATATAACTGTTTAAACTCGAAATTTCTAAGATGAACAATACTCTCTTAAACACTAAACTTTAAATCATGTATTATGATACACAAACTCGTACTTTATTGTAACTCATTTTCTTTTTATATGTATTATAAAGATTTAATCCATATTTAGAAGATGAATGTTAAACAGATCTAGATATATATGAAATATTATTTTAAAAATTAAACAATAATAATTACGGTAATATTGGACTCGATCTAAAATATATTAATTTGGGTTCGATATAATTCATGTTTTAAAGGAAGAAGGAAACACTAGGATTGTGTTTTCAAAGGCTTGGGTCAAATATATCATAGGCGTGACGTGTAGCACGCGTTTGGGGGTTAATTATTTATGAGTTCCATATTAAATCTGGGGAAAGAAATAGAATATTCGTTCCTATCTAATTGATAAAAAGATGCATGAAAATAATTATTATGACATTCATTCGTATAATGTGTTTAGTTGCCATAAATATTGTTATTGAAAGCAATATCTTTTAATAAATAATTATATTTTTGGTTGTTTGGTAGTTCAACAATTTTGAGATTGACTGAGAAAATTTGAAAAATATGAGATTGATTCAAATGATCAAACAAATATTCATCCTAAAGATCAGGACATAATCGAGACGAATGAAACTTAAAACTTCTGAGACATAAAAAATAAATAGAGATTTTTAAGTTTTGTACTTTAGATGTTTTTCGGTCGCTTGGACATTTAAGTACACTTTAAACCACACATTGTGAGAACTTAAGTTCACCAAAGGCTTGAACAAGCTTCCAAACAACTTTAGAGTGTATTCGAGTTTTTGCAATTAGTTTGAAACATAAGAATTATGTAGGGTACCCGTTAAATTAGATAACAGAAAAATTGTAAAGATAAGTAAACATGTAATACTCACCAAGAATTGTCGCTCATAAAATTGATGCATAAATTTTTACAACACGAATAATAAGTGAAATTTTGATGTATGTTGTATCAAAGAAACATAATAACTGATTTGTTAGTTAAGATGATCAAGATAAAACTATGAAACATGAGTTCCCCAAACAACTCACTCTAGGATTTGCCACTTTTATTTAAATTTCATACATTTTTTTTCAATGGATTAAAAAATATAATATGTGGTCACTTTCATTTTTATTTAATGAATATGTGGCCACTAAGGGTTAATTGTCGTTAAGCCTTTAACGGGTTGCTAATGTAGCACAATTAATTTATAAAATTAAAAAGGATAAATTACACAAATTGTCACTAATGTTTGAGTACATTTCTGTTTTCTCTAATAAAGTTTCAAAAGTAACAAATTGGTCACTAAAACATCAAATACGTCATTGAACAATGATTTTTATATCTAATTTACCCGAAAAACTTTCTAATTTTTCCAGCTAATACATACATAAATTTTCAATTTTAAAAATAAAACTTAGAATTTAACTTTTTTGGAGATGAAGTGATAGAATATTCCGAATGATAAACCTAAAATTAGAAAGTTTTTGAAATAAATTAGATAGAAAATCATTGTTTAAGGACCTATTTGATTGTTTTGGTGACAAATTTGTTACTTTCGAAACTTTAATGGGGAAAATAAAAATTTAATCAAACATTAATGACTATTTATGTAGTTTATCCTTTGTAATTTTGTAAAATCATTGTACCACGTCAGCAATCCGTTAAAAGTCTAACGATAGTTAATTCTTAATGATTGCATCTCAACTAAATAAAAATAAAAGTGACCAAATTTTAATTAAATAAAATATATTTTTAAAATTTAGTAAAAATAATTATATAAAATTTAAACAAAAATTATTAATCTTGTAGTTTACCTAAACTTTTAAAACAGTATTAGGTGCAATGAACCATAAATTAATGAAATTAAAGACGCAAATTTTTAAAGAAAAAAATATTAATATCGAAAAAAGTTGCAATTAATGTTTTCAAATCGGTGCGAAGACAAACTCTTCTATCCTATCAATTTCTCAACCTCAACCTCAACCTCAACCTCAACCTCAACCTCAGCCTCAGCCTCAGCCTCAGCCTCAGCCTCAGCCTCAGCCTCAGCCTCAGCCTCAGCCTCAGCCTCAACCCCAACCCCAACCCCAACCCCAACCCCAACCCCAACCCCAACCCCAACCCATGCAATAAATATTTAAAATTTAATATTTTAAAAATAAAAATAAAATAATAAAAATAAGCTGGTTGCCATTATTGCATTGTAATGAATTTTTATTTTTATTTGATATATATAAATTCTCATCAATCAAAGTCTTTCATTAATGAGTTTCGTCGTAAGTGGCAAAATAAAACCAAACTCTTTTGAACATTTCGTGCCCAAACGACATTCGCATTAAATGCGGGAGGGGTCGGTAACATCGACTGCAACGTGACAAATCATTTTTACACATGGACTCCGCCGTCGGTGAACTATCACACACTTCCGATTGATGAAGTGTGATGGTGACGTGGACATTAAGTTTCAAAACCAACATTAAATTGCTTGATGTTGAGACTTTTGAATCTATACTCCCACTGCACATAATTTTGATACATGATAGGGATGTTTAATAAATATGTGTTTTTTTAGTATATTAGAGGTTCTTATAATAATAATTTTGTTAAACTTTATATTTTTATTTTATTTTAAAATAATTAGAAATATTAAACTCATCTATCTCAATAGTAAAAGAAAAATTATTTTTCTTATAAGTTTTAAAATCAATCAGTTACATCTATATAGTATAGAGGTTGTTATAATAATAATTTTCATAAAACTTTATATTTTTTATTGCATTTTAAAATAATTAGAAATATTAAACCCATCTATCTCAACGATAAAAGAAAAATTATTTTTCTTACAAGTCTTAAAATCAATAAGTTTCATCTGTATAATATATATGCGACTAAACTTTTTTATAAATATATATTATCTTATAATCACCACATATCATTAAAAAATAATTAAATTTATACATAAAAATTTTATCTATATAATCATTTGCGATACTATCAAATCAAACAAGTTCATTAGATTAAACGATAATTAAATAACTGCATTTTATTATAAAACATCATTTTATATTAAATTGTAAGTATACCATAAAAATATAATACTTTTTATTGGAATAAAATAGACAATTTAAAAGAATAATAAATATTAAATTGATAATTTTTTTAAAAAATTAAAGGTTAAATATATTAAATTGTTTTAAATTATGATCAAATTAGCAGAATGTACAAATTTTAAAAATTAAAATTTTTACTCTATTCGACCACATTATTCTAATATATTAGTAAAATGTACAAATATATTTTTTACATTATTGTGCATTTTTTTATTAAGCTAAAAGTGATTACAAGATAGTATATGTTTTAAGTAATCTCAACTATTTGACAATGAACGTTTAATCATCCTTGCAGCTGCTGGTACTTGAACCTATGATCTCTAGGAACAACAATGATTCCTTTAACTACTGAGGTAAGTTGGTTCGTGCGTATTTTATTGTATTGTTGAAAACTTGAAAATAGGTTTAATGTCAAAAATAGCCCCAAACGATTATTAAAATTATGATTTTGATCATTGTTTTATTTTTATTTTTAGAGCATTTTAACAAATCGGAATAGAGAGTAAAATATTTTTTTAATTTATAAAATGATGGCTAATTTTGATATTATGCCTTGAAAATACATTACAATTTACTGAAGGAAAATGTTAGGTGGATTACCATATATGGATCCTTCATTTACTCCCACCATTTCACCATTTACTTGCATGCAATTAGTGTTTAGTACTAAACAGTAAACATCAAGAGCTCAGCATATAATGTCAAATCCAAGAACTAAATCTTATTTTATTTTAATATAAGAATAATTAATTTATTTGACAACAAGAATTATTATTAGGAAAATACAAAACACCCTCACCTAACACTTATCCACCATCCAACTAAACTTTGATTTATCTAAATAAATTATCATTTTGCGTTCTTCATAATTGCAATAATACCAAACCAATTATTTTATCCTGTTGAAACAATAATGTGAGATATTGATTATCATCATTAAAGTTAAACTAACAAAAACATCTATATTGATTTCATCATTGGCTTCCCCTAATGCTAAATTTGAATAGCCTATGATTTTGAATTTACATGAATCAGAATTATTTGCAGGGACTAAAATGATGAATTGAGGTCAAGCCTCGGCTTCTTCATAGGCGGAGAAGATGGAACGAAAGAATCACAGCGAGGACACCTTGGATTCGTATTGGAAGCTATTACATAGAGCAAGCAACCGGGACATGCAGCTGCAAACATTTTTGGCCTTGATGAAGAAGACGATGTTGTCGGCGGCGGAGTTGGTGACGATGAACGTTTCCTCATGTTTCCTTTTTCTGCTCTTTCCAAGGCGTATTTGACCTTGTCGAGCGTACAGACGCTTTGGTACAAGCTTGGGGTCGAACAAGACTGGAGCTTTAAGTCGAGGGAAGTCGTCATTTCTTCGAATAAATTGATGGGTGGAAAGTTCAAATCTTGAAGCTTGGAATCTTGGAGGAAATTCGGCAATGGATCCTTGCCTTTTCCATCTGATAATGGTGACTTTGGTGATGCCGATGACGATGAAGAACTGCACTTCTGTGCCTCTATTTTCCCAGTTACCTGCATGGCGATGAAAAAAAAAGCAAAAACGACAAAGACGATGAGTTACAGAGAAAATGAAAAATGAAAATTCAATATATAAGCAAAAAACCCAGAAAGATGTCAGACTTTTCATAAAGGATAAAGTTGAAGAAACCATTAAAAAAAACAGCTCTCAGTTCAAATATTAATTGTGCACAAAGAGAGTTAAATTTGACATAAATGAGTTATTCGGATCTGTTGCAGAGGGAAAAAAAACCCTTCATTTTTTACCTTAAATTCAAGATCTGTTTTAGCTTTTGACAAATTTCCCAGCAAATCTTTGGTAATCAAAATATCAGAATTCCCAGCATGAATCTTGTTCTGTTGCTGTTCTTCCATGTGTCCACTCAAGACTCTTACCAATGAACTGCTCACTTGTGCTGCCATCTCCTTGGGGATTCAAAGGGAAGAAGCAGCTTTGGATATGAACAGAGAATCAGGGAAGGAGAGAAGCCAAGGGAAAGTGAAAGCAAATGAAGTATTTTAAATAGACAAGTTCTTAGAATTAATTTAAGAGTAAGTTAATAGCAGTCTACTCCATGGAAATTATGGTCCAATTTATTAACATTAAAAATGGTTTGGATGATACGTGCCATTATTATTCATTACTCGTTTCTAAAGATATTTTTCTCATATTAAAATTTGATATTATTATATTAACACGAAGTTTTAGAATTTTAGATTATCAATTAATCGACAACCACAACAAGTTTAATGAAGTTTAAAGTTGAGTCAAATTATATTTATTTAAAAAAAAAACTAATCAGATTTATTACAGTATCATCATTCATTATAGGTTATCATCTCAATATCGTGACAAGTAATATTCAAAGTATAAATTAAATAATTTCAATAATCGATGAGATGATTATTATTTTTAAAAGTTTTGAGTTTTGACATAATATTTATAATATTTTTTTAGGACGAGCATATATATATATATATTAATAACATAATTTTTTCGTATGAGATGAACATAAAATTTTAAGATGAACATCATCAGTAAAATGAACAATTAATATAAAAATTTTAAATTTCAGGGTGAGCATATACCCACCCTAGATCCTATGTACATCTTTCACTATCTATAAAAATATTTAAACGTTTATTATTAAGTGATTAAAATTCTTTTACATAAATATTATTTTATAATCATCTATTCTAATAAAAAAATATTGAATAAAAGAATACATTAATTTTTTTCTTACTTTAAGATCCTTAAATATTATTAAACCTTAAATCTATTTATAATTAGAAGATTTATATATTTAATAAAAGAGTCGCAATAAAATAAAACTAATTTTTTTAAAATTTCAAATTTAAAATGATATTATTTACATTGAAGAGGATGACATAGACTTTTCAACAATCTTGAATTAAATGGTGTTGTAGAAGAAAAATAGGAAATGGAAAAGGCATTAATGGCGGCATTTAATGCTATTTGTACTGTTTTGTTTAAAGAGCGGCCCTTCGGGCGGGTGAGGGAAGGCTTTCTTTATTTCTAATTTTTCATATTTATAAAATAATTTTAAATTTCTTAATTCTTTTTTGAAAAATTTATTTTTAGTCTACACTAAAATGGAAAACATTAAATTCGAAGACAGTGAAGTGAATGAAAAATGTGGAGGGAGATAACAAACTTACAAAGTTTGGGGGACTTAAGATTGGTTTTTATAGCTTTTAAAAGACTTACGGGTAGGCGCATAACGTACGCAATCCCATTAAGGCCACCCTTTGGCTTTGCGTAGAATAGGAGGGGGGAATTCAAGAGGTTACTAAATGCTTAGATCCTTTTTGTCAAATTCAAATATGATAAATAAAACCGCCTTGAATTTCTCATTAATTACCTCTTTAATTATTCTATACTTTTTTGTCTTTTGTAGATTAAGAATGACACGTAACAATTATATTAAAATTTTAAATATAATAATTTATTATATTGTAACAATTAATTAGAATATACAAAACTGACAAACTTTAAATTGATTTTAGGGTAAATTACACGTAGAGTATCTAAATTATCAGTTTTGTTTCATTTTAATATCTAAACTTTCATTTGTTTAAAAACTATACATAATGTTTATTTTATGTTTCATTTTAATACATTGTTGGTAAAAATTTAATCGAATTGTTGCACATGGTATTTTTTATGGGTAAATTACATCATTTAACTATCTTCCCAATCCTATTTTGGTAAAGTTCAATTTTTTTTTAATTTAACTGCTAAACTTTCAAATTGCTCATGTTTTAACCATTCCAATTTATTTTATTAGTAATTTTTGTGACATGAAGTTTTTTGTTATTATTTTATTAATATATCTTAAAATAAAAATAATAAATTTGAAAGTTAGAATGATTAAATTAGGAGTAATTTAAAAGTTAAGTAAATAAAGTAAAAAACTTCAATGACCAAAATAGGAGTGAGAAAATAGTTGAGTGATGAATGATAGAATTTACCCATAAAAATTGTAATGTTGCAACAATTCCGCTAAGTTTTTAAAGGCGATGTACCAAAACGAAACAAAAAATAAATGTTTGGTATGATTCTAAAACAAATGAAAGTTTAAGTAATAAAACGAAACAAGACTGATAGTTTAGATATTATACGAATAATTTACCATTAATTTTAATACTAAACTTTAAATCGTTTTAATGTAAATTAAGTATTGGATCTTGGTTTTGAGTTTAATTGGGGCATTGAATAGTTAAATTATTAATGAAGTGATGAGATGACCAAAAGACTATTATTGTCTTTATAGTCGTCCATTATTGATTGTCATTTGGTATTAATATCAAAATGTTCGCATTTTATTCATTTTTCTTATATTGATATTGTGTTTTTACAAAATTCACTCAAAATTTATAAAGGTTTGATGTTCTACTGCATTGATCTTCTCTGATGGCCATTCGATGATATTGTTTTTCGAGGTATGATGTTGTCTTCTAAAAATATACTTTTCACCGTTTATTTATTTTTAACAAATACCTCAATCTCCTCAAATTCGAGAAAACCCTAGGTTCACATAAAAATAGTATATATTTAGTATTTAATTTTATGAGTTTCAAAGAGGTTATAAAATAAAATTAAACTGATAAAATGACTATAAAATAAGTTCATTGGAGCCTACGACGGAAGCAAATGACGTCATAGAATGACGAGTTTTTGTAACAACAGAGAAACTTCAATTTTGATGGAGAAAATGATAAGATCAAATAAAAAAATTTTGGCAACACATATACACATTATGTATGTATAATTGTTCGAATATAGTATTTTAAGAAAATAATATTTTCTTAATCAGTGAAGTCTTTCAACAAATTCACGATGTAATTTACGTCAAAGAGAAACATGCATCGTCATAGGTAAAATCAAATGAAAAAGAAGACCACAAGCAATTGCTCAGGCAGCTCGGTCTAGCAGTTACATTTATAAAGAGACTGAACCAATTAGAGTAACTAAGGAAGTATATAGACAGCTTGATTTGGGAACATCATAATACATGGATATTCACGACTAAATCAAGCTATAATTGGCTTTTGGTGAAAGACGTGAAAGACGGTGCTGAACAAGACCTGTCAACGATCTGGAAAAAATTGATGAAGACCCCAACCCTGCCCAAAATTAAAAGCTTTGGCTGGAGGCTGGGACACGATGCGCTCCCTACAGGATCACGACTTGCTGCGGCGGGGATTGGAAATGGAATCTGTCCATTATGCAAGCAGATCATCGAAACAACACTCCATGCGTTTAAAGATTGCCCAATGGCCAATGAAGTTCTCACAGTTTCCGGGCTTAATAACTCACTCATCTCGACAACTTTCACCTCCTGCAAAACTTGGATGGAGCAAGCGTCCACACTCCTTGATCGGGAAGGCTTCACAAATTTGCTCAACCTGCTGTGGAATATATGGAACCGCCGAAACAAATGGGTTCACCAGGAGGAACTACAAACAGCGAGTGAGGTGGTGAATGCAGCCTGGATGCTTGGATCCTCTTACAAAGAAGCAAATGGGTTGCTCTCCGATAACACTATAAGACCGAAGGAGCAGGAAGAAACCAGCTTGGAAAAACCAGAAATTGGAGGCATCAAAATCAACGTTGATGGGGCATGGCTACCTGAATTAGGACTTGCTGCTATTGGCGTGGTGGCCAGAGACCACTCTGGAAAGGTTATTGGAGGCTTCGATTGGAAATTAGATGGCAATCACAATCCCGAATCGACTGATGCTGCTGCTTTCACGCATGGGATAATATTTGCAGTCGAAAATGATTGGTGCAATGCCACAATCGAAGGGGACGCTGCATCAAGCAAACAAGAAGGACGATATCTCTGTGATCGGGTGGCATGCTTACCCGTCACCCTAATCTGTCGGTTAAATATGTTTGTAGGGATGTCATATTGTTGCTCACTCTTTAGCTCATTTGGCTTTGTCGAACACCAATCCTTTATGGTTTTATTACAATGAATTTGAATGTATTAAACCGTATGTACTCTCGGATGCCATTCATAGCTAATTGAATGAAAGGAACTCTATTCTCAAAAAAAAAATAGGCAGTATATTTTTGCGATGGAGTGGACTCGCAACCAATCAGAACCTCATCCCGAACATGTGGGCACCAATTTTTCACCCATTGTTGGGGCCACTAAACTACGTATCCAATACTCACCAAATGTCAGTGGACTCTCCAAATGAAAGCAATTGATCTTTTTTATTGAATGTAAGCGGGATATACATAAGGTTATAAATATTATTTATTTTTGTTGATGAAAAAAATAAAACTATAATGAATTTCGCCGATTTATCTCTTTTAATTTAAATTGATAATTATGACTAGTGATTTTATGAATAGAGAATAGATGATCTTAGAATATGATGAACAATAAAACAAATTGTGGGGGGGGGGGGAAAGAGAAATCGATTCTTTCTTCTGATCTTGCATAGTAATTTATATATCAGTTTTTAGTGATGATGTTAGTAGCCTTGCAAGACAGATACATATTACTGTCGGTTAGTATATATATTTGTCATTAATAGATCATTTGAATTGTATCAATAGTGTCAAGAGATTGCACTTGGTTAGAGGATATAAAACCTCAGAAACTTCTATATATTCACATATTATATATTCCGAAAGTTTTAATAAACAAAGAATAAACAGCGAAAATGCATTTATATAAGAAGTTCAAAAGATATACAACTACTTTTTGTTATATCTAATTACTTTATCATAATTTTGATCTCATTAGTTATCCGTTAATTATTCACATATTATATACCCAGAATTTTATAGTTTAAAACCCAACGATTACTATCAGGCTGCAAGCACAAGAGATTTAATCATTCCCTAACTATTTTCCTAACTTCCGACATACAACACTGATGAATTAAGATTCAACTTTTCACCAGCATCAGCCATAGCATAACCAAAACTATACCAAGCTGCAGGTTGAAGAAGCTGCCTTTGTGAAAGAAGTCGGCTGTGTTGAAGTAGCAGCTGGATGATTGTTTTCGATTTACTATTGGTGTTGCTGCAACATATCTCGAAGAATCTCCGTTAAGAGTAAATAATCCTTGGGTGGCGTTTGGTTGGATGGAATCCTTGGAATTGAGGGAATTGAAATCCAATTCTACCACTTTCCCATGTTTGTTCAAGTTTGTTCAAGTTTTTCAATGGAATTGGAATCTCTCATGGCTTCAACTTTCCATCAAACGAATGGATGGAATTCAATTCCCTTGTTGGAGGGAATTAAAATTTGACCATATTACCCTCATCAATCTTTTGGTAACTTATTCATATATTGAATAAAAATATTTTTTTATTATTTCGGGTCGGGTCGGGTTTCTAATTCATATATTTGGGTCGGGTCGGATGAAACTTTATTTTGGTCGGGTCGGGTCGGTTTTTTTAAGTCTGATATTTGAGTCGGGTCGAGTTCGGGTTTAGGGTGAAAAATACCCGACCCACAAATATATATAATTTTATATTATATATTTAAGAATAATTACAATAATATCCCTCTATATATATTTTTTCAATTAAGTCTGTTTTTATTGAATAGAAATAATTTTTTATTATTTCGGGTCGGGTTGGATTTCTAATTCATATATTCGGGTCGGTGAAACTTTATTTTGTTCGGGTCGGGTTTTTTAAGTGTGATATTCGGGACGAGTCAGTTTGAGTTTTTTTAAGTGTGATATTCGGGTCGGGTCGGGTCGGGTTCGGGTTTAGGGTGAAAAAATCCGGACATACCCGAAAAAAATATAATTTTACCTTATATATTTAGGAATAATTACAATAATACCCTTCTATATATAATTTTTTTTTCAATTAAGTCAATGTTTTTATTGAATAAAAATAATTTTTTATTATTTTGTGTCGTGTCGGGTTTCTAATTCATATATTGAATAAAAATAGTTTTTGGTATTTTTTTGGTAACTAATTAACATACTCCGATTGGAATGTATCGAAATATTGCTCTATCTTTTGGTAACTTATTAACATATTTTGATTGCTATGATTTTAACTTATGATGTTTATTAGCATGATTTTTATAATTTATTGAAATGAATAATCAATCAATAAAATGAAAATTTAATATTTTTTAATTTTTTATAATATATTACTACATGTAAGTTGTAAAACAAACTAAAATAAAGCAAAAAAATAAGAAGGGCAATTCTGTCATTTTATATTACTGAAATCAAATTCATCTAATATGTCTGCGAACCAAACAGAATATGGAATTTGATTCCAATTCATGATAGATTCCAATTCCTGATAGATTCCAATTCCTTCACAGATTCTAATTCCCTCATAAACATTCCAGCGAACCAAACGCCACCTTGGTCCTAAAAAATTATAATCACTATTATTAAATGATTTTTTCATAATAATGAAAATGTAAAAATTTTAAAATAATTACCGAATTATAATTTTTTTGAATGGCTGGTGATTATAAGAATAACATCTTAACTATTGATAACACATGCACACTCGTATCAGTTGTTTGAATTCAATATCTCTAAATAGAACATCACTTCTTTTAACTATTAATATCATTTGATATGTTCAGAGAATTATAAATTTAAGATATTTAATTCGACCAAAAGATTAATGCATCTTTTAAAATAAATATGGTTTGAAGGTTTGTTGCTCCATGAAGCTTTACAGAATTGATATATTAAATTTATTAGTAATATAAGATGCTTCTGAAAAGGAAGTTTAGTAAGATGAAATTTAGTAATAAAAAGGGTGAAAAGTTATCAAGTCGTGTAGGTTACATGAAAATGGAAGTGAGGAAACGTGAATCATATAATGAAGTGATGGACGTCATGAAAACAATTCCCTATGTATCACATGCATTGCAATGCCAATTGACCACGCGTCATCGCAATGCGTCGGCTTTCAGTAAGATTGAGATTTTAGATATTGAATATCGGCAAAATTACGTGAATGTTGTGATAAAATAAATTATTTGAATTATTTTATAATTTAAAATGATTGCTATACTAATTACATATTCTATTAAAATTATATATCGATTTTAAGATCTCGTCATGGGTGTATATCGACTTCTATATTATTTGCACGCACATTAATTGATAATAACGTAGTTCAAACACAAAGAACTTTGCAGGTGACACGGAAGAGCAAGATTTCAAACAATATATAAGAAAAATTATCGTATGATCAATATTTTTTCTATGATGGTTTTATGTCTGCGGGTTAGACGTTTCAGTGTAGTCTCCTGCAGTCTCTCAGGAGCTCGTTCACGACTCCTGCTCTTTTCACCTCATAGTTCACTCTTCTCTAATAGGTTTAGAGAGATTTTTTAACGAGGTCCATGGGATGATGTACCTTGTATCATAATCAAATACAAAGTACTCATTTTTCAAAAAAAAATCCAACGAATTCTTCAATTACTATAACAATCACTCTAATTCATAAAATAATTTATGATATACTTTATTTAAATGAAATTTTCTATCACAATATTCAAACAATTTCGTCATTGAATATCTAAATTCAAATTTTATCCTACGTAATTATTATATATAAATATTTTTTAGTTATATTCAACCTTTTATCTATAATTTTTTTTAAATAATATATATTAACATAAAAATATCTAACGATTACATAGTACGTTACTAGTCACTTTCAACATTAACCTTATTTGAGGTATTTCGTATAGCTGACAGCTGTACGATTTGACTGTTGATGATGGTACAGTTCCGTAATCCCCGTTAGATATCCCATACCCTACTAAATGGCCTAAAATTTTGGCATCAAAAATGTTATTTTCAAGGATTTTCATAATAAAAATTATTTTTGAAATTAATATTTATTTTAAATTATTTTAAGATTAACACATAAATTATCAGATAAAATCATGTTAATTAGATGTGCCTTCGAGTATGTATCTTATAGATTGTATCTTTTACTTACGTGATAATACGGTTACAAGATTTTAATATTATATTAAATTAAAATAAAACAGAAATAAATATAAAAATTACACGAATTTTATTAAAAGAATAAATGACTGCAGAAATATTTATTATAAGACAAAAAAATCACATTATAATTAAAAGATAATTGATAAATGAAAAAACAAGAAGAAAATGCTTGATTCTTTTTTTTTATAAATAATTTCAGAATAAAAGAAGAGTCCTTGCCCTCGTTTTGCTGGGTTTTCAACGAACTGTTAATTTACAGCAAAGAAACCTACTTCGCCTTCACCACATTATGTACAAACGACAACGAGGCTTAATTTAATAAAATAAACTAGACCAGTTCATCGAGGCTTAAAGGTACTCGGCCTTGCCTGAAAGCTTCAAGAACACGGTCAAATACGACGACGTTAACGGGGATCCTCAACACTCCGCTTTGCTCGTACCCGTACTCTTGTTCCGATCTGTTCAACAACTCAACGAAGATCGGATACCGCAGCATCTCGGCACTGACAATGAACCTCCGGCTCGACACCGGATCGATCCCAACGTGAACCGGGAAATGCCCTTGTGGAACGTCCGATCTTCTCGCCGGAAGATTGGACGTATCGGATCGGAGCATCGAGTATTGAGTGGAGTTGTTTACCCGAACTTGTGACAGCCTCCGAATCAATTTCTTCATTATGGCCTAAAAGAGGAAAACAGAAATGAATGAGAGTATATAACAAGCGTTTTTTTTTTTATAGAGAAAGGTACAAAAAGGAGTACCGGAAAGTACATACAGATAGAAAGAAGGGATCGATAATTTCTATGTTTGAAGCATGCGTTATTTTTAAGAGGAAGTAAAAGATGGATAACCGCACATGATATCCTCTCCTCACAGCTACGGACACAGTAATTTTTTTTGGATAAGTAAATTATATTACATCCAAAGAAAATGCAGCAAAGCTGCTACAAGAGAACTATCTCAATCTATATCAGTTCCCAGTTTGTGTACATGTCTCTATTACCATCAACTATAATGTGTAAACTAAGGCTATACTATTTAATTTTCACTGCTTCCTTAATTTTATTTACAGTATCCTCACTTGATCGAGAAAAGCCCCTGAATAACTTGAAATTGCATTATTCCCACACGTAATACATAAAACCAGACTAGGCCAACTTTAAAATACGTGTTCGAAGCGATTTACCCTTCAGGCTTACAACCAGCCAATTGAGGCGCTGGTCCCAACTATAAGCAATGCTACGAATCCCACATAGCCCTAGGACAACATTCCAAACATTCCTAGCATATGAGCAATCTGCAAATAAATGGTTGTGCGATTCCATACCAAAACCATAAACAATGCAAGCATCATCATTAACCACACCAAAACGAATAAGCATGTCTCTAGTTGGCAGCCTATCGAGAATGACCATCCACAAAATTAAAGAAAATTTAGGAATGTGGGAAGGGAACCAAATGATCTTGTGCCAACTCACCTTCTCCCTACTAATTCTGATGTTGTCCCAAATCCATTTGCTTTTTATCAGGCTTAAATTATCACAAAGGGAAAACAATCTACTCGCATCATCCCGCAGCCTCAGTAATTTGTTTAAAATCCAACTATAGTGAGGCTTACAACCAACCTCCCAATAACTTTCAGATTTAAAGCAATAAGCTTGTAACCAGGCGATCCACAGAGAACCTTCATTAGCCAGGATGTTCCTAATTAGCAGCAAGCAACAAGATTTACTCCAAAGAGCAAGGTCTTTAAGTCCTAATCCACCCTCGGACTTCAAGGAACAGATCTGACCCCAGCCCACACGGGCTCCTCTGGCTGAGGCGTCACAACCTTTCCATAAAAAACACATACATAATCTCTCGACATCCTTAATGACTCCTTTAGGAATGACAAGCTGCCGACACCAAAAATTAAAGATGCTAAAGAGGACAGATTTGACAAGCTGCAATCTCCCTCCAAAGCTAAGCTTTTTGCTGGACCATTGGTTCAATTTGTCCTTAATTCTTTCCAACAAAGCAGCACAATCCTTACTAGAAAGTTTGCGAGTGACTAGGGGAACCCCTAGATACCGGACCGGAAGCTGTGCCACATGAAATCCAGTGGCTAACCGAATCTGATCAAGAATGATTTGATTCAAGCCACACGCGAAGAATTCAGTTTTAGAAACATTCAGCTTGAGCCCTGAAAATTCATAAAACTTTTCTAAAGTACTCTTAACACCTAGCACCGAATCAAGGGAACCATGGCAGAATACTAAGAGGTCATCCACAAAGCAGAGATGAGTGAACTGAATTCTTTTGCATTTTGGGTGAAATCTGAAAATTCCCTTCCTATCAGCAATATTCAAGAGCGATAACAAAACATTCATCACAATGAAAAACAGATAGGGTGACAAGGGATCACCTTGCCTAATCCCCCTTGCACCCTTAAAATAACCCACCAAGCTGCCATTCAAAGAGACCGAGTACATGGGTGTAGTGATGCAAACTTTGATCCAATTACAGAATTTATCAGGGAGACCCATCGCTTCAAGAACAACCAACAGAAAATCCCAATTGACAGAATCAAAGGCCTTCTGAGGTCTATTTTAATAGCACATCTAGGAGAAAGACTTTTCCTATAATAGCCCTTGACCACTTTGTGAGCTATCAATGTATTTTCCACAATATTCCTACCCGGACAAAGTAATTTAGTTAAGTGAAAACTTAAAAAAATTATATTAAAAATTTTAGGGGTTTAAAGTTACAAAATTTTAAGGATATAAAATTAAATAATCGATAAAAAAATAAAAAAATAAAACCCCTAAAATATAAGAGAATTTAAAGTTTCTAAAGGATGTATATGCATTTCCAACACCCCTCGGTCCATCATCATCTCTCGACAGACATGCATGATGATTCATCGTCCCAATTTTTAGGTGTATTTTCGAATTTTACAGTCTATTTTATGAAAGCTAGTAAATTAATTTACACATTTTAATATGTCACGATTTAGTTATTAAATTTTATAATGAAATTTTAAAACGGATCTTAACAAAAATAATTAAAAAAGGATCACAATCAACAATCGAAATTGAAGTGTCAATAAGACGATTAAAAATGATATTTGGACAATTAATTTTGGATAGTTAGGTAGTAGAACATGTGGTTATAACTTGGTTAAGTAAAATTCGATTTGATTCAATTTTTTTCTTTAATTTTATATTATTCAAGTCAATTCTAATTATTAAGCAATTTATGAGTTTGAAATGAGTGAAAATTTAAATATTTCAACCCACCGAAAAACTTTAAATTTAGTTAAGTATTTTGATAGTTTTACGATTTGATCCTTGATGTTTAATTTATCATTCATTTAAGTCTATTCTTTACCAAATTTGAACAACATGCTCCTAAGTCATTTTAGAATACCTATGTATCTTCAATTTTTATTTTTGACCACAAATTTTCTACTTTTTCAATTTAGTCCTTCAACTTTGTATGATTTCATGATTTCTTCAATTCATCTTCATTTAAAGTCTATTTTTTGACCAAATTTGAACCACATGCTCATCTACCACTATAAAATACCTATATAACTTCAATGTATATGTTTAACTACACATTTACCTTTTTTCAATTTAGTCTCTTAATTTTATATTTTATTCAATTTAATCTTTTAATTAACTACATTTTTTTACATATTCTTTCTCTCCATCAATTCATTGACTTAGTTGTACTCTTACCAATACTTTATTATCAAAATATCTTATTTGAAAAAATAATATTATAAATAAGTTTTATAATTTCAAATTATATTCGATTTATTAAATAACATTAAAATCTCTCTCTCTCTCTCTATATATATCTTATTTGTTTAGAGAAAGTGGAAAAATTGAACCAACCTATACCACAATATTGTAAACAATTACAATTAAATTTCTATATAAAACTGCCGCTGCCTTATGGGAGACAGCCATACAAGTGAATACCATAGCAGAATTGGTAGTAAATTATTGGAGTTTTCTAATTAAAGCAGATGATTTATCCCTTTGATTTTTCGTAAAAAAAATATTCCATCTCAACTCCTCGTTGTGAACTCTCCGATGTTAAGTGTCAATATTCTAATTTCTCTTGATCATCATTTCTACATCAATATTTTTACGTTTAGATGGACAAAGGAAGGATTTAATAGAAGAAATGAATTTTCCTTTTCTGGGTTTTCGATATTTTTTTTCGTATTTATACTTTTTTTTATATGCCTGAACAGATAAATTACAATACACAGAACTCTCTTTATGATGAAGTATATTATATATATATATATATATATATTAATAATTTAAAGTGATTATAAAATAGTATATATTAATTTTTTTAACTAATTGATAATATACTACGCTTTATAAATTAAGCTTTCCATTTTCAAACCTAGAATTACAGCTGAACGCGTTATTGCGGAGACAAAGGTGAGATATTGGTATGTTATGAGGGAAATGTAAATTTCCAACAAAATCATGGTCAACACAAGGTTTTTCTGAATTCATCTTTGCTTGTATCATCAATTTTTCCAAGCTTGATTGGTGGTGCTGTCGTACGTGCTTAATTAGTGCCGGAAAGAAGTGTTCAATGTTTCAACACTTGGAATTTGTTGCCTTACTATTTTATTTTAAATACGAATAGTTAAATTTATTATTGTTTTTAATTGTGACCAAATTGATAGAGTGTACAAATTTTAAGAATAAAATTATTATTATACCAGTCCACGTTAGACATTTGTTTCAATTTTAACACAAAGTAACTAAATTATAACTTTGAAAAAAATAATCTACTTATAATGGAATTAATAATTGAGTGACTTGTGGTGTATTTTACTCATATATATAAGTTGGAATAAAGTGTATTTTACTTGTAGTGTATTTAGTAAGCTAACTATCACTTTGATTCTATTTTAGTCACCTAACAATTATTTTTTTCAAAATCATACCTAAAGTTATATTTTGGTCTCCCATCATTAAAAAATTAACAAAGATAATAATATGTCACCATAAGATAATTTCACATCATCATTGATAAAAATATAAAAATTGTCACATAAGCAGTTCTATTTATTTTTAGTGACAGGTGACTAAAACGTAATGTTAGATATGATTTTGAAGAAAAAAATAGTTTAATGACCAAAACGGAACCAACATAATAGTTGGATAACTAAATACACAGTTTACCCTTTAATTTTCAGCCGAAAATGCATCCAGCCCCGCATTCACGCCTAAAATTTCTATATATGTAATAAAATTCTTTTCAAAGCAACTCATCCCCTCTAACTCTTGCTCAGTACAAGTTTATCAATGGCTTCAATTTTTCAGCCTTTACTTTCAGCTTACCTATTGCTGCTCCTACCTCTTGTTGTTGCTCAAAGTAGTGCTGGTGGTGACATCGGCGTCGGCAGCTCCATCGAAGCGACGCCCGATGCAAAACAGTGGGTTTCTCTTTCAGGTGATTTCGCCTTCGGATTTCACCAACTTGAAAATAATAATGATCTTTTCATCCTCGCCATATGGTATTATAAAGTACCAAGCCGCACCGTAGTTTGGTATGCAAATGGAGATAAACCTGCTCCGACAAGATCGAAGATCGAGTTAACTGATCGAGGACTGGTTCTCACTGATCCTAAAGGTCAAATGATACGGAGATCCGAATTTGCCACTGGTGATGTTTCCATTGCAAGAATGAATGATACAGGCAATTTTGTGGTTTATGGTAGTAGTTCCGAACGACTGTGGGAGAGCTTCGGGAACCCTACCGATACGTTGTTACCGACTCAGGTGATGGAAAGAGGCGGAGTGCTTTCTTCTCGGCATAAAGAGAGAAACTTCTCCAAGGGAAGATTCCAGTTCCGATTACTTCCAAATGGAAATGCTGTGCTCAATACCATAAATATGGAATCAAACTTATCTTACTTTGCATACTACTTTAGTGCCACTTCTGATCAAGCCAATTCGTCAAATTCCGGTTTTCAAGTGAGGCTTGATCAAGATGGATCCTTTTACGTGTTGAGAGGAAACAATCAGAGAGATTCACTCAGCGCAGAAGATGACGTTGTTCCCTCCGTAGATTATTATCACAGAGTAACTCTAAATTTTGATGGAGTTCTGACGGTATCAAGATATCCAAAGAATCCCACCGGCCGCAATGGAAACTGGAGTGTTAGTACGACCATTCCAGATAATATCTGCACATCAAGAGTCGAAAAGTATGGTAGTGGAACATGTGGCTACAACAGTATCTGCACACTTAAATCCGATAAAAGACCAAAATGTAACTGTCCTCCAGGTTATTCTTTATCCGATGCGAATGACGAGTACGGTAACTGCCGAGCAGATTTCGTGCAGGGTTGTGAAACAGATGGCATAACTTCCCGAGGAGACTTATACGATTTGGTCGAACTGCAAAACACAGATTGGCCAACTGTCGACTATGAGGTGATTAGCCCTTGCACTGTGAATGACTGCAAAGCTTATTGTTTGCAGGATTGTCTTTGTATTGTGGCAATGTACAAGAAAGGAGAATGTTTTAAGAAGACACCGCCACTTCCTTATGGGAGACAGGATGTACAAATGAACACAATAGCCTTTGTCAAAGTAAGAAAAGCTGAATTTTCCCAGAAAAATCCTCCCATTACACCGCCACCTTACGGAAAAAGGTTTCGAAACTCGTTGACAATTCTGATTTCAGTGTTCTTAGGTAGCTCTGTGTTGGTTAACTTTGTGTTAGTTGGGGTGTTATGCTTGGGATCATCTTTCTTGTATCACAGAAAGATTAAAAGAAACCACTGCAACAAAAATGGAATACAAAGCAGCTTAAGATACTTCAATTACAATGAGCTCGAAGAAGCCACAAATGGTTTCGAGGAGGAGCTCGGAAGGGGATCATTTGGCATCGTTTATAAAGGGGTAATAAAAACAGATTCCGAAGATCCGATCGAAATTGCAGTTAAGAAGTTAGACAGGGTGATTCAAGACGCAGACAAGGAATTCCGAACTGAAGTGAGTGTGATTGCTCAGACACATCATAGGAATCTAGTGAAGTTGCTCGGATATTGCGATGAGGGAGAATATCGAATGCTGGTATACGAGTACTTAAGCAATGGATCATTAGCAAGCTTTCTATTTGGTGAACTAAAACCAAGCTGGAACCAAAGGACAGAAATTGCAGTGGGAATTGCTAGAGGACTATGTTACTTACATGAGGAATGCAGCCCTCAAATTATCCATTGTGACATAAAGTCTCAAAACATACTTCTCAATGATTGCTATGATGCACGGATCTCCGACTTCGGCCTGTCGAAGCTTTTGGGCCTCGATCAAACATGTACTAACACCGCTATTAGGGGTACAAAAGGGTATGTAGCACCCGAATGGTTCAAGTCCATGCCCGTAACCGTTAAGGTCGACGTGTATAGCTTCGGTGTGTTGCTGCTGGAAATAATTTGCTGTAGAAGAAATGTAGCTATGGATGTTGGTGAAGAAGAAAGCAATCTTGACAGAGTGGGCTTGTGATTGCTTTTCCGAAGGTGGCGTCGAAGCTCTCATGGAGAACGACCCGGAAGCCTTAAGTGACAAGATGAAGTTGGAGAGGTTTGTAATGGTTGCTCTTTGGTGCATTCAAGAAGACACCTCTCTAAGACCCACCATGAAGAAAGTTCTGCTGATGCTTGAAGAAATAATTATGGTTCCTGCTCTTCCATTGCCATGTCCATCATATATGCTGGCATAATACACTAATTATTTGCTTAGATACAATTTTTTTATCACACCTAATGTTTGGGAGTATTATTTAATTAACTTCTCTATTTCGAACCCTACATGTACAGCTCAACGCGTTTTTGCGTAGACTAGTTACATCATGGTTAAACTACAGCTTCTCTATTAATTGGCCTATATTACGAAGGAAACTTCAATTTATGACAAAATGGTGGTCCATTGTAGACTTTTCTTAATTTATATTTGATTATAACATCACATTTTCAATGCTTGATTGCTCCTCTCATCCCATCGTGTTTAATGCTCCAAGGAAAATTCAAGTGTTGAACGATTCAACATCAGGAATCAGTAGTTTTACCGTGTAGTAAGCTCTATTTCAAAGCAACTTAGCTCTCTCTAACTCAGAACTTGTTCATCCATGGCTTCAATTTTTCATCCTTTCTTTTCAGCTTACCTATTGCTGCTCCTACCTCTTGTTGTTGCTCAAACTGGCACCGGTGACATCCGTGTCGGCAGCTCAATCGAAGCGTCTCGGGATGCAAAACCATGGATTTCTCCTTCCAGTGATTTCGCCTTTGGATTTCACCAACTTGAAAATAATAATGATCTTTTCATCCTCGCCATATGGTATTATAAAGTACCAAGCCGTGCCATAGTTTGGTATGCAAATGGAGATAAACCTGTTCCAACAAGATCGAAGGTTGAGTTAACTGCCAATCGAGGACTCGTACTCAGCGATCCTAAAGGTCAATTGATATGGAGATCCGAGTTTGCCACTGGTGATGTTGCTGTTGCAAGAATGAACGATACAGGCAATTTTGTGGTTTACGGTAGTGGTTCAGAACGACTGTGGGAGAGTTTCAAGAACCCGACCGGCACATTGTTACCGACTCAGGTGATCGAAAGGGGCGGCGTGCTTTCTTCTCGGCATAAAGAGAGCAACTTCTCCAAGGGAAGATTCCAGTTTCGTTTACTTCCAGATGGAAACGCTGTGCTCAATACCATAAACATAGAATCCAACTATGCCTACGTTGCATACTACATTAGTGGCACTTATGATCAAGCAAATTCATCGAATTCGGGTTTCCAAGTGAGGCTTGATCGAGATGGATCGTTTTACGTTTTGAGAGGAAACAATCAGAGATTTTCACTCAACTCGGACGATTTTGTTCCCTCTACGGATAATTATTATAGAGTGACTTTGAATTTCGATGGCGTTTTGACACTAACTAATTATCCAAAGAGTTCCACCGGCGGTGGTCGAAACTGGACTGTCGGTACGACGATTCCGGATAATATTTGCTACACTAGTTATGCAGAGTTGGGTAGTGGAACATGTGGCTATAATAGTATCTGCACACTTAAATCCGACAAAAGGCCGGAATGTAAATGCCCACCGGGTTATTCTTTATCCGATCCGAATGAAGAGTATGGTAATTGCCAAGCAAATTTCATGCAGGGTTGTGAAGCAGATGCCCAGAATTCCCCAGGAGATCTATACGATTTGGTTGAACTGCAAAATACCGATTGGCCGACTGCCGACTACGAGTTGATTAGTCCATGCAACGTGAATGATTGCAAAGCTTACTGTCTGCAGGATTGTCTTTGTATAGTGGCAGTGTACAATGAAAGGGGCTGTTGGAAGAAGGCACTGCCACTTCCATATGGGAGACGTGATACGCAAGTGACTTCGGTTTCGTTTCTTAAAGTACGAAAAGCTGAATTTTCCCAGAAAAATACTCCAATTATACCACCCTCATACAAGAAAAGCTACCAAACTTCATTGACAATTCTGTTTTCAGTGCTTTTGGGGAGCTCTGTGTTGGTTAACTTTGTATTTGCTGGGGTGTTATGCATGGGATCATCTGTCTTGCATCACAAAAAGGTTGAAAGTGATCAGAGCAACAAAAATGTCATACAAAGTAGCTTAAGGTACTTTAAATACTCGGAACTCGAAGAAGCTACAAATGGTTTCAAGGAGGAGCTCGGAAGGGGATCATTCGGCATCGTTTATAAAGGGGTAATACATACAGATTCTCGAGGGTCCGACCGGTGTTGCGGTTAAGAAGTTAGACAGGGTGGTTCAAGACATAGACAGGGAATTCAGAACTGAAGTGAATGTGATTGCTCAGACACATCATAGGAATCTAGTGAAGTTGCTCGGATATTGCGATGAGGGCGAATATCGAATGCTGGTATACGAGTACTTAAGCAATGGGACATTAGCAAGCTTTCTATTTGGTGATCTAAAACTAAGCTGGAGCCAAAGGACCCAAATTGCAATGGGAATTGCCAGAGGACTGTGTTACCTGCATGAGGAATGCAGCCCCCAAATAATCCATTGTGATATAAAGCCTCAAAACATACTTCTCGATGATTACTACGAGGCTCGGATCTCCGACTTCGGGCTTTCGAAGCTTTTAGGCACCAATCAATCGTTTACTAATACTGCCATTAGGGGCACAAAAGGGTATGTAGCACCCGAATGGTTCAAGACCGTGCCCGTAACCGTCAAGGTCGACGTGTATAGCTTCGGCGTGTTGCTGCTGGAAATCATTTGTTGTAGAAGAAATGTAGCTATGGATGTTGGTGAAGAAGAGAAAGCAATCTTGACAGACTGGGCTTGTGATTGCTTTTCGGAAGACGCCATTGACGCTCTCGTCGAGAACGATGCGGAAGCCTTAAGTGACAAGGTGAAGTTGGAGAGGTTTGTAATGGTTGCTCTGTGGTGCATTCAAGAAGACATCTCTCTGAGACCCACAATGAAGAAAGTTTTGCTGATGCTTGAGGGGATAATTCTGGTTCCTGCTCCTCCGGTATAATTAATTGCTTAGTACTTGGTAGTGTAGTATAATAAGTACATATACATATACGCATGCACATGCATAAACGTATCTTGCTTGACTAAAGTATTATATTTCCTATGGATCTAATAAATAAAATTTTCTTACAAATGATTGCAAAGCTAGTCTTTGGTTCATGTAGTTGTTAGATACATGCAAAGGAACGAAGACAAATCAATTAGATGTCCCTTGTTCCCATATGTAATGGGGTAAGGGGAGGTAAGATAGTAAGCTGCCCCCAACACCAGGTTGAGAGTAGTTTCCTTAGAAGACCTCCAAATTATGAAATGCCCTCCGTGAGACTCGATCTCACGACCTCAAGGTTAAAAACCTTGTATTCTACCAACTGAGCTGGATAGTTATCTTAACGAAGACAAATCAATTAAGGTAAATATTTAAGTATCTATCAATCCCACAAGTATTTGTTTACAGCCCGTCCAATAGATTTGGAGGCCTTATACTATATTTTAAAGAGAAAATAATTTCAGTGATAAAAAATGTATTATAATATACGATTTTAACCAAATTTTTTTGCCAAAATGACCAACTAAATCGCAATGCGATCGATAATTCGCAACACGAATTTTCCAAATTCGTTGCGATTTATTCCAAATTCGCGTTGCGATTTATTCCATTTGTTTCTTAAGAATTTTCTCTAAAAGATAGTATTCGCACGGACGTGTCGAAAAACACGTACGACCACGACCCGAGACGAGACGGACGGCAGCGGCGCACGAGAGTCCCCCTTGTTCTCTATCACTCAACAAGGAAGTGGGAAAGCCAAGCCTTAAATACCATTCCCAATAGTGTTTCCAATACTATGTGGGATTGAGCATTACCAACACTTGTTCCTAATACTATGTGGGATTGAGCCTTAAATAGTGATATTATTTGTGAATTATAGTTAATGACTTTAGTATTTGTATGAAAAGTATTTGTGGTTCGTTTAGTTTTCATGCAATTCTAATTTATTTTCAATTAATTGTAATTGCACGATAACAATTTTTTTATTCTCGCGAGTGATGCAATTTTTTTTGAATGTTTTGCTTAAAATTGCAATAATCGCGATTGATTGTAGATTGACTTTTAATTATGACATATTTAATCGTATAATACTAATGCGATTGATTTTTAATTATGACATAGTGTTTTTTACCATATTACGATTGTTTTTTATAAAATAAAATATAAATTCAAACATATAAAATTAAAAAAAAAATCATAAAATAACTCTATAATCGTGATATTTTTTTTAAAAATGTCATTATTTGAATGCCTTTAGAAGCAAAATCAAGATATATTTTAAAATGTAATACCTTTAAATTTTGAAGCATTGTAACGTATATAACTTTACATTTATTGATGGACGAATAGTTTCTGAAAAAGTGTTTCACTTGGGATCTTAGAAGTTTACATATTCTATAAATATAAAGCTGACTAGTTCAAAACAGGTAGTCTAGGTTTAGTCGGAATTACCGATTCGGGGTTGAATTTTTGGAGGAGACCGTTAATTATCAAATAAGGGGTTTAATTAAAAAATAACTATTTAACTTATATACTTTTTTATTTTAGATGTTTAAAGTTTTTAATTAAAGTAGATGTTTAACGTTTCTTCGTTACCATTTAAGACTCTAAAATTTAATTATATTATCATTTTAAGGTCACTCAGTGAACAACCGTTAAAAAAATCTGTTAATAAATATTTACTTGACATATGGATTTAATTTTCTAAAAGTAAAAAATACTAAAATTTTAAATTAAAAAAATCTTAAATTTTATATTTTTCTTAAACTCCTTCCAAATCCCTAACTCCCAAATTTCCTTAAAGATCGAAGATCAAAGGATGAGTGATAGTTAGAGGTTTGGACGGCTCGTTTTTGGTTAGGGTGGCAATGTAGCCTCATCGACGATAATGAACAAGTGATGACTAGGTGAAAAAAATAATTTATATGATAGGATTTAGGGACGTCGTATAACAACAAGGAGGTGACCAACCCGTAAGTGTAACAACCCGACTTTTTACAAAATAATATTAATTGAAATTAGAGGTAAATTGTGAAAATGAGTGAAATTAAGTGACTAAAGTATAATTTATGAAAACTTTTATGCCATTTTCGAAGTAAAGGAAATTCAGGGACCAAGCCCTGAATTTCCCCTAAAAGTGTCGGCAGGTTTGGTTATAACTTAAAGTGTTTTCTGATTTCAATCAGAAAACACAAAAGTTTTTCTTAAACTTTCACTCCTCCCGCACCTCGACTTTCAAGTCCGATTTCGACGCCGTTCGACATTCGATCGTCAAATTGAAACCACCATCGTGTTCGTTATCGAGTCAGGAACAATCCCCTTAAATTAATTGAAGCGAAACGTTGCTAAACGTCGGGAATTTCAAGTCAAAGCATCGACTTTTTTTTAGCTCTATCGCCGGGAAAATCTCAAATTCAACCTTGTCCGCCGTCGACGGCGGCGCGTGAGGAGGTGGTGCAGTCAAAGATTCGGCCGATTTGAAATCGAGCTCTCCGCCGTTCAAAAATTTGAACCGATCGTTGTAAGTATCTCGAAATCGCTCAAAATAATTTTTAGAAATTTTTCCGGGATTTTTAGAGCCCTGGAGGACGCCTCACGCGCCACACGCGCCGCCGCAGGGAGAGTGGCTGCTGGAAACCGGTTTAACCGGTTTGACCGGTCTAACCCGACCGAACGACCCGACCCGACCGACCGACCCGACCCGACCCGACTGTTGACCATTGACCGTTGACTTTCTTTGACCAAAACTTAAAATGGATTTGACCGAGCATTAAACGACCGTTAATCTTTTCCGAATATACCTATCCTGATAGTTTTCGACTTGCCGAATCCGTTTCCGCTGTCCGTTTCGTCAAATTCGAACCCGAAGGCTTCCAAATCGACGGTCAAAGTGGTTGACTTTGACTTTGACCAAGAATCTGAATTTTCGAAAAGTCATACTTTATGTTTTTCGACGTCATGATTCCGATTCCGCAATTCGTTTGGCCAAATTCAGACTCGAAATATCCCAAATTGATAGTCAAACCTGAAAAATGCTTATATACTTAAGAAGTCTAGTTTTGAACAATTAAATAGAATTTGGGACCGATAGATTATTATTGTTTGAAGGTACAAGAGACTCTCCGGATCGTTCGACAGCTCGACCCAGCTTTTCTAGATCAGTTAAACCACGTGTGCCATTATTCACGCGTTCGAAAACTGTAGCAGAGCATGGTGAAACCAACAATCAGTAGATTTGCTATTTGAACCTATTGTCGAAGTGTGTTCCCTACTTATTACTGAATTGTTTTATTGGTTTTAATATGTGGTACACCGAATTCATTGGTTATTATTTTATGGATGCACCAATTTTATGTGACAATTTATAGAATATGGCTGCTATCTAATTTTTGTTTTGAAATGGTATATGATTACCATGTTTTTGGATTTATGGAATTTATGTCACGGTGCAATTGAATTTTGGAATTGTATTACGATGGAATAGCTCTGATCAAGCTAAATGGGCCTAATGTGACTCTTGAGGGCCCCAAGATGTTTCATTAGGTCGGCTTTCCTTTGCTGTGTGCTTAGGGTAAGCTATATGGACTTATTGACTTGGGCTTAAGGATACAAGCTTCAGAGCCTATCCTTAAATCGTCTTTCTTTTTGCTATGTGCATAAAGTAAGCTATATGGAAAATAATTTTGAGAACTACTGATGGTGTACCGGAAAAGGGTTTAAACTATGATTTTCAAAAGTTAAACTCTTTTACGAATTTGTGAGATTTCTGGACTATGATTTGTACCTATTGTGATTTTATGGAAATGTTGGGACACACTGAGCTTAGCTCACCTTTTGAAAATGTTTTCCCCCTTTCAGATACTGTTGGTTAGATACCTCGGTTCGAGCACTTGGAGGATCAACATATCTCTTGAAGTAAATCAGATTGTAATGTTTTTATCTTTCAAGTTGACTTTATTTTGGTGACATGGACCTTATTTTAAAATATCGGATTTTATAATGATGACTCTTTTGCTATTACTGCTCGGTTTATTGTGATTTTGAATTTGAAGACATGTTTTAAATTAAATTATTATTTATTGGTACTATATTTACGAGTTGGATTTTGATAGTATAATTTGTTTATAATTTCATGTTATTTAAAATGTGATTTTATATTGATGGAATAACGGTTTCGGAAAATGTCTTTAATAATCATAATGTGATCCACTAGACTTGGTCGAAACGCATAGGCCGGGTCTAGGGGGTTACATTTATTGGTATCAGAGCTTGTGGTTTTTAACCCTCGGACTGTGTATGAGTCCACATTGAAAATACGGTTTTGAGATATTTTACAAAACGAGTTACTAAGGCCATGTCACAAAGTTATTAAGATTTTAACTATGTTCGAGACTCCAAGTGCTTATCTAACCTTAAGTTTATCTTCTGTAGTAATCTCGAGATCTACCAAAATGAGTGCTAGACGTGGTCGTTGAACTAGCCGTGGACGAGGTCGAGTGGCTAGATTCGCAGATCCGATCGATGAGATAAGGGTAGATCCCCTACCTACGATAGGTGATCATGCTCCTACGACCCCAACGGATCTGCCTCCTGCCACTGGTATTGGTATGACTACACCGAACATAGGAGCGACGGATGAGTGATAGTTAGAGGTTTGGACGGCTTGTTTTTGGTTAGGGTGGCAATGTAACCTCATCGACGATAATGAACAAGTGATGACTAGGTGAAAAAAATAATTTATATGATAGGATTTAGGGACGTCGTACAACAACAAGGAGGTGACCAACCCGTAAGAGTTTATTGATAGAAGGGGTGACCAGTGGTGGCTGATTCGATGGTGACATGTGACTTTAAGATTTAGATTTAGAGATTTAGAAGGTTTAAGGATTTTAGGTTATTTAGGAATTTTACAGAGGATATTTTTAAAAAATAAAAGAAATTTAAAAATACTTTACGTGTTAAACAATGATTGGATAACCTATTTATTTAACGATTGTTATAACTTTAGAACGTTAAAAACCTACATTAACAAAGGAAATAGATACATAAAATTAATGGGAGACATACGTTAGATACTCATATTTTAATTAATCCCAAATAATATTTTAATTATAGTATATTCTAAATAGGTTAAAATTAAAAATCAAGTTATCTCAATGATTAAATGGGTGGTTGTTATTTCTAGAGATTCCGAGTTCGAGCACCATAAACTATAGGGTATTTGAGTATTCAATGTCAAATAATTGAGAGTTTCTAGAGCATATACTACCACTTGTAATTACCCTAGTCAATTACTATTATTTGACAACATCTTTGTGTCATGTCAACGCTGCAATTACTATTATTTGACGTATTATTTGATCACTTAAGGTATCGATAAACCTTAAATCCAAAACTCGTGAAATCACAAACCACAATGATCTTATACTATTTATCATGCGACCAACGTAGAATTAAGATATACAACTTGATTCGTCCACAACTTCTCCACTGTTAAAATATGGAAGAATACGTTTCATCATCGAGAAATCAAAAAAATTCAAAACTATGCGTCAAAAAGTCACATAAATTCAAAAACTTTAGATGACATAGAATATGTCACGTTATCACTTTAAGTGACCTGACACATATATGTAATCAACAAAATACATATCAAAAAAGTCACATATTTGTTAATTGTTAGTCAACTAAACGATTTACATCCAACAAAAGTTATTTTAACTAAAGATTAAAACCTCTTAATCTATGCATGCATGCATATGAGTTATTAATTTAGAAATCTCATAGGGACGCACATGAGAGGAAATGTCAATAAATAAATAAGTAAACTATCAAATGACCACTAAATTATACGATTGATGATCATCGTACTTTTAGTTTTGATAATATAATATCACAACTATTTAAGTGATTTTACCATTAATATTTAATAAAGTATTGACTTAATAATTAATAAAATTGATATAAATATATATATATCATCCTTAATACTTACATATTCTATCAATTTAATCTAAAATTTAATTTAATTCAAAAAATTAACTCTCCAATGAGAGTAGGTACACCTCAACAACTAGGGTAAATCCAACATTTATTATTAGATTGTAAAATCTTTTATATATCTTGTTTTAAATTATAGGAAATAAAAAATATAATAACTAAATTATATATAAATATATATATATTAAATTGTAGTAAGTGAAATGTTTAAAAATAAAAACAAGTTTAAGAATTTATATTTTTAAATTAAATTAATTTTTTTCACAATTTATTTTTAAATAATTATAAATTTAAGATAAATAAAAATTATATTTGAATATATACTTATTTTATATTTACCCCAAATTAAATACTACCTATCAATCACATCGAACTAATAAATAAGAAAAAAAAAGTAAAAACTTCTTTGTTAATTTATGTATTTTATTATGAATGTTATAATATGTTACACGTTTATTACAACACGTCACTCTATATAGAAATTATAGTTTCTAGAACTACAAATTCAGTAGGCAGAGTTGAAGAAACAACAAATGAAATGTACCAAAGTTGTATGTATTTTTCAAGACATGGAACAAACAACTCTCACCTTCCTTCTGCAATAGTCTCCCTGAATTCAGTAGTAAGCGTTGATTGATCATCCAGACTTGAAATAGTCTTGCTCCTACTCTTGATTTCGCTTCTGCTGTTATCGGTTCCAATGGATGTTTGTGTTTCTCCATTCACGAAGGCTTCTGTTATGTCCTTGAAATCCCAGTCAGTTATATAACTTGGTTTTGTTGTAACATTGTTCACCTCAGTATCTCCTGAAAGCATAGCAACGACACGAGACATGGGCGGTCGGATCGACGGAGATGCTTGAGTGCATAAAAGTGCCACCTTCATCACTCGCAGAGCTTCGTCTTTGTCGAACTCCGCTAATCTTGGATCGGGCAGGCTCAATAGTTGGTTATTTTCATGCAGGGTCCATGCCTAGAAGCATTGTAAGAACAAATTATTCATATTTAACAATATTCTTGAACAGACTGATGCAAAAGGTAAATTATGCTTCTGGATTTACCCATTCAAGAAGATAAACTTCTTCGTCTTCTAATGTATTGTCGGAGTTTGGTCTACCACTTATAATCTCCAAAGCAAGAACACCATAGCTAAAAACATCTACTTTCTCTGTAAGATGCCCACGCATTGCGTATTCCGGTGCCAGGTAGCCACTTCAAGATAATTACATTTCATTGGTGATTGATGTTTATGGACATGCTACCAAGGCAGGACCAATGAAAAACAGGTCGAAAGGTCTTACATGGTTCCAGCGGCGCGAGTCGTGACGTGTGTATTCTTGTCATCATAAAGCTTTGCCAACCCGAAATCAGATATTTTTGGGCAGAGTTCTTCGTTAAGCAAAATATTGCTTGCCTTGACATCCCTATGCACAATCTTTGGCTTAGACTCCTCATGAAGATAAGCTAGCCCTTTTGCAGTCGATAAGATGATATTGAAGCGGGTTGGCCAATCGAGATGCAGGCCATTTTTTCCTGCATTTTAGTGCAATGAATCTGATACAATTGTTCAACAATCAACAAAGAATGGAAAGCATATTATATTAGAAGGTTCTCATACCCCAGAGTGCCTGATCAAGGCTTTTGTTCACATGATACTCGTAAACGAGGAGTCGACTATTTCCTCCGATGCAGCACCCGTATAGTTTGACGAGATTGCGATGGTGCACCGCTGATATGGTAGCTATCTCAGTAACAAATTGTTCTTTCCCCTGGTTTGATGATAATGAAAGTTGTTTCACAGCAACAACTCTCCCATCAGGCAGTGTACCCTAAAGCATACTAAGATTTAGTAACACAGTGTAATAAATCATCCTCTTCCGGTCGTTTCGTTGTTATATGACAAGCAAGTTAGCATTGCTAAAAATATTAGACATTGTTCACCTTGTACACAGGTCCAAATCCCCCTTCTCCTAACTTCTTCGAAGGACTAAAGTCTTGAGTCGCATCTTTTAGCTCGGAATAACTAAATGTATTCGGTCTAGGGCTGATGCCAATAAGCACTGCACAGTCAAGTATGATTAGATGTTACCTGTTTTCTGATATACAATGAATAACCAAATAATATATGTTATATTATAAACTAATGCTCTTACCCTCCTCCTCCTCATCTTCTTTCTTTCTCTTCACATAAATAATTGTGAGCATAAGTATCGAAGCCAATACCACAACAGGAACCGTAACTCCAGCGATCAATGCTGTGCGGTTCTTCCCTTTAGGATTTCCTGGTGGTAATCCACTGACGGTTGGTTTGAAATCTGAGGAACAAAATAGGTGTATTAGACACATAGAATCAAAGATAAGTACACGAAGCACACATTACATGAGGATTCATTAGTGTTATGGTGTCTTACTTGGAACGACACTAATAGCCGAAATGGATGGACCGTAAGTACCCTCTTCTGGTGTGCCAGTAGTCCCCTTACCAGCCCAAAACAGGTGAATTTCAAGGTGGTTCTCAGTTACACTGGCGGTGAAATTCCTATTTATTGCTGTATTAACACCACCAGCCTCCTTTGATATATCGAAATCCCTTAATCTCCGGGTTCCCTGACAATGCGTATTTAAGATATTGTAGGAGTTAAGTAGTTCCAAGTGTAAAATTATGCGAATAAAGTTATGATCATAAAAACACTGCAAATAGAGGGGATGGAATGAATTAATACAGCTTAGAATGGTTTGAGACCTGAATATAAACATCGAAAACACGCCTTGCTACACTCTTCCAGGACTGTGAGCTTGGGGCTGGGAAACCCGTTTCTGCAAAGAACAACCTTATGGTATAGAGTCCATTCTCAAGGCCTAGGCCATAGTATCTGAGTGATTCAGGGGATAGCCTTGAAGTCTGATACAGCCCCGGAGTGTTGGTACCTCTCACTTGTACTATGGTGTTTCTTGCATACTGTGGATTCGAACTATCTGCAAACAAGCCTCCATTGCTAACTGCCCATTTCCGTGTACCGATTACGTTAAACGTTGCAGCACCAAGGGGATTATTATCTGCCTCAAATAATATCCTATCAGATATCATCGCCGGTCCACCACACTTGATCGAGAAGTTTGCATCTGCCAATGCCGACATTGAAATATTTTAGTAAAGCATTAAGACCTAGTCGACAGGTTTTGGTTCCAAAGTTTTAGAGAGTACATCTTGGAGCATTTCTAAAGCATGGGAAGCTTCTTTGAAGGCAATCTAATCCTGGAAAATGCCTGAGGAAATTCGAAATGATTTCTTGATTAGGAAATTAAGAGAAAGCATTGCATAGCAGAAATAATAGCAAACATTTCTTTTCATAGAAGTAACAGAATTCTTTCAAGAAATTTACAGGAGACAGGAAAATCAGGTAAGCTGCAGGATGATAACCCACCTTGTGTTTGATCTGCTTAGTCTTAAGTCGTTGGCCACAAGGTTCCTACATAAAATTCCATGAAACAAGCTCTTATTGGTGTTAAAATTAGGAAGCAAACGTAAGTAAAGGAAGTATCCTGGTTGAAGATACATACAGTTGTAAGCCTGAGTTCACCCAAGAAGGCAAGTTTCCTGATAGAAAGTTGTACGATAAGTCTCTGCATTTACAAGTATATTAGCACAAAGTGAGTATGGAGTATGAATAGATTGCCAGAATCTGGAAATTTTAACTGCTTTTTCTATCGGATGGTTCTCTAAATAAGTTGGTGAGATAGAATGACGTACATGGTCTGAAGTGTACCACTCTTTTGGCTTGGAATGGAACCTGATAGACTGTTGTTTCCAAGAAACCTGACCATTTCAATTGCATGAAAGAGATGAATCATGTCAAGTGAAAACCATGAATCTTAAGCTGAGATTTTGGTTTTTGTTGTTGTTGTTGTTGCTTACAAGTATCTGAGAGAATTCATAGTGAACAAAGTGCTTGGAATTTGGCCTGTTAAGTTGTTGAAACTCAAATCCCTAGGACAAAATGGAATTAGAAGCATGAAACAAGTGAATATCATAAACTACTTAAGCAGTTAACTTTTAGATAAAACTTACAGCTTTTGTAAAGATTGTAATTCCGTGATATAAGATGGAAAAATACCAGTGAGCATGGCATTTCTTATAACTCTACAGGTCGAGACAACATAGAAAAATAAATATGTTAATTACATAAATTTAGATAACAACATATCATCTTTTTTCCCCAGAAACAAGAAAACATATGAATAGAGAATGTAAAGTGTATGGTTAACTCACAAATCATTCAAGTTCACCAGATTTCTTACGAAATCAAGAGAAGAACTCCCATTGTATATATCGCCGATTCGCCTACATGATATATGAATAGAAAAACAGATTATATGTATGCGTACATACGTACATGAATATGCAGACAAAGATGTCTCCACTTACAAAGAAGTCAATGAGGTTAAATTTGCAAAACTGGATGGAATTGGACCATCAAAAGAGTTTCCTTCCATTCTCCTGTATAAACATTTGACAGACTAGTCAATCTGATGAAAAATCGAGGCAAAGCTATCCTTCTTGATGTCTGATTCAGATACAACTTATATGAAGATTACAACGAAGATGTTTCGATGTATTACAATGATGTTAGCCTTGTCCAGTTACCAACAAAGTCTGGTATTTTGCTTGTGAATGCGTTGTCCGATACCCACCTGAAAGTCAACAGAGCTTACTGTTACTAAGGCGAATTGCAGGACCGAGACAGAGAAAGCAATAAGCACAAAGAAGGGTCTTTCGTACACGATTCGCAGTCGTTCTAAGTTAGCAAAAGTTGAGGGAATCTCACCACTGAATCCACAACTGTTAATGTATCTGCAAAATTTCGATAAACCAATTGTTGTTACAATTTCATAGGGTAACATTGTAAAGACAATCATGACTGTACACCCCCCTACAGAGAACTAAAGAAAGAACTTACAGTTCTTCAAGCTTGACTAAATTACCAAGTTCTGGAGGCACTATTCCAGAGAAATTATTATTTCCCAAAGACCTGCATGATATTGATCCACATGATTTTACTAGTGAAATTTTCTTAAAAGCAGAATTAGTTCAGAGTTCCTTCAACTCTTACAGCATAAATAACTCCTTGAGATTTCCAAGCTCCTTTGGAATAGGTCCAGAGAAATCATTTTGTGCAAGTGACCTATTCAAAGTAAAAATAATCAAATAAATAACCCAAAAATGAAATGCTTTTATTAGATTATATCTGTTGACTACTCACAGTAACCCTAATCTAGACATGTTTCCAATGAATGCTGGCAAAGGACCAGTGAAGAAGTTCCTATCAATCTTCCTGCATCACCATACAATATAAATCATTATATTCAATACCCTAAAACTAAATATTCAAAAACATTATAAGAAAATTAGCTCGATGTTTATTCAAATAGTCATTTTGGTTTCTATTCTCTCTTTAACATTTTAATACCTAATGTTTCAATTTTTAATCAAATAGTCTCAATTGGATGAAAATCATTAACTGGCTAACAGTCCAAGTACGTTATTGATGTTACATTTCCACATGTGCTTAATTACTGATATGTCACGTGCAACATCACTAAAATAATGATATGATATGTGTCACGTCATCTAAAATGATGAGGTGACATATACTATATATCTAAAGTGATGACATACCATATCTCATGTCAACAATTAAACACATGTAGAAATGTCATGTTCGTAACATACGTTGACCGTTAGTCAACTAATGATTTCCATCCAACAATGCTATTTTGACTAAAAATTAAAACATTGAGAGTATTTATTTGAGTAAACGTTTGAGACTAAATTTAATATTTATGTATATTCAAAGTAATAACATTCTTACAAGTAATACAGAAAGGGCAACTGCAAGAGCTCCTCTGGTATCACTCCTCGTCTATCTAGATCAAACGCCCTCCTGATAAAAACAATTCAAAACATGCAAGATATTAGTACTAAAAATAAGATATTAATTGTGATTAGACTTCCCCAAAGGCCATTAACATGCATGGATTGGCCTTAACTTTAAGCGTAAGAGAGAGCAAAAAGCATACAGGCTAGTGATGTGGCAAACGGTGCCACCTTGGAAAGAACAATCACATTGGATAGCAGGGTTATTAGAAGGATCCTCGAACTCGGAATCGCTTGCGGTGAGAGCAGTTCCACTGCATGGCTCTCCACTGATGTTCCATGTATCCAGAGCTTGTAGACCCCATTGTTGGAAGATTGAATTTAGTGCTCTCACTGTTCCACCATTCATTAAACAATTGGTGGGGAAAAAACAATCAGGTTAGGTGATTAAAGTTTATCGAAATTTGTGATTACTATTGACATTGATGACCAGAAAAGAGTTTAAAATTACCTAGAATTTGTGTGAATCGCATGTGAGTGAAAAATAATAGTTTTTTTAATATAATTAGAATTTGTTGCACCTACCAATGTGTATAAAAGAAATGTATACATCTTTCACCTGTTAAAAATGAGGGTAATTAAATAAGAAGGAGTGGGGTTTTAGGCTAAACTAGATTGATGATCACTGAACTTTTAGGATGCTTTCACTTTGGTCACTGGAATCGAAAAACTTTCATTAGAGTTACTGATATTAAGAAAAACATTCATTTTAGTCGCCGATACCATTAACGAAAGCTGATATGGTACGTCCAAATGTCAAGGACAACTGAATTAGTATGTATATATGTCATTTTTTAATATATTAATGTTATTTGTCACCATCTTATTGATTATTAAATAATAAAAATATGAAGTTTAGGCTTAGGTTGGGGTGGGATTTATCAGCTACCTAGTAGCTGCTGCAAGGCAGATGGGATGAGATTAAGTTTGCTGTGCCACAAGCTCCCAATATTTTGAAAGGAAGAAGCAGTTAAAGGAGACGCGGGTGACGTTGAAGCAATAGACATAGCAAAGAGGATGAACCAGATGCTAGAGCTAGGGTTCAGTGGTATAAGACCATTCTTCAAATATTATTTTGTGAAGAATATGTTAAGAACTTGGTTCGGTGATTAAACCTTGAATCTCTTTATAAGGAGTTCTAAGTGTGACGGGTCAATGACCAAAATGAAAATGTTTTAAAAATTTAATGACTATGAGTGCAATTTATTCTTTTCTTGAACATTTTATATGGAAGGATAATTTTACTCCCAATGAGTATTGAACCCACAGGAGGTGTCAAGTAAGAGTAATTACTCATAACGGTTGTTGACCTTTTTTATTTTATTTAAATACTATGAAAATTTCATATTTAGGTTATAATTTCTTGATTAAATGATATACTAGAATTTAGCTACATAGTATATGGTTTTGGATATTTGACAAAATCATACACAAATGGCTACAGTGACAAAATTAGGATGATTCTTTGACAATCATATTGTTTAGGATCGAAATTAGCAGGACTAAAAAATATTTAAACCAAAAAAAATGTGGTTATGACTTAATTCATCTAATTTCAAAACTGATAAAGAGTTAAAATATAATTAAATAAAAAGATGGGGAGCCAAAGCTTAATTTAAAAGATTTCTAAACTTATAGGGGCTTGAAAAAGAATTAAACCACGAAAGCCGAAAAACAACAGTCCTGTCACTGAAACGAGACGGAGAGGAAAAAGTACCTTCGGAGGGATCGGTGGCGGCAGTGGCACTAGTCTGGGCATTAATGGATTGGTTGCATGAAAACAAAACAACCAGCAACAAGAAGTAGAGCCAGCCTTCCCAAGAACACAGTCGTCGTGGCTTCATCTTCAACCTGGGAATCGTGTTCGTTTTTCACTTACTTCTAAGCTCGAGATCAAATCTCCACCGTATTCTCCGATGGGAATTAGTAACAGGACCACAATATATAACCCCAGCTTTTACCTAACCTTCAATTTTGTAGAAATGCACAGCTCAAGTCAACACCACAAAATATGCCGAAACAAAATAAATAATTAAACCGTTATCGTCAACAACTACTGCTGCTGAAATCGTACTTTGACTTATGGAAATCAAGATGATTCGGATGCCTTTGTCTTCGTCCTTTCGTCTATATAGATTCTTACGTCCTCTTCTTATCAACATATATTTATATATATGTATTTTATATAGCAACTAACTAATGAGGACAAGAGAATTGCCAGTGCACCATGATCAATATAAACAAAAGAAAATGATGAAGAAAAGATTAATATATTGTGAGTCGACCAACTTTCGTGCATGGTTCCGTGCCGAAGGATGTGAAATTTTATGTTAAGGATGATATTTTATAAAACTGTAAATTTTTAATAATAAAATATAAAAATATTTAAAATGATTTCATGGCTTTCACATTTAAGCTTGACCAGAGTTCAGTAAATAAATGTTAACTTTAGAAAATCAATGTATACGTGTTATAATTTTATAGGGACGCACACGGAGCGCAAGGTTACTAAATAAATCAAGGGTTAATATACAAATTTATCATTTTTGATTAAGGGGTAATGTATATTTTATCTATGGATTTTGTTGTAAGAATCTTAGTTTGTCTTTGAGCCTCTTTCGTTTGTTATTATTTTATTATATTTGAATTAAATTAATAAAACTAAAGTTTAAAAATAATAAATATGATAAAAAATTAAATCGATAAATTAGAGATAATTAAATATTTTTAAATTATGATTCTCATTTTAAATGGATCCTTATACTTTTAAATATTTTAATACATCATCAAATGATGTCTCTCATTTAAATTAGTCTTTAAATTTTTAAACATTCTAATTTCATGCTCAAATTAAGACTCTCATTCTAAATTGGTCAATAAAGTTTTAAATATTTTAATTTTATTTCCAAATCCATCTAAATATATAATTAATTTTAACCATAGTTCAACCTATTTTTAAAAAAAATGTAATAATAGAGCTTGGTTTAATAGTTTTATCTGATAACTTGAAATGAGATCGAAACGTTAAAAAATTTAAAAATTAATTTAGAATGAAAGTCCTAATTTAAAGATGAAATTAAAATATTAAAAAATATGAGAATTAATTTATAATAAAATCATAATCTAAAAATAAAATTAAAATATTTAAAAATTTAAGAATAAGAGTTAATTTAAAATTATAATCATATTTTTTAAAAATATGTAATATAATTAACTCATAAAAAATCATTTTACCGCTAAAATATACCCGTTATTTACCGGGTCTTCTCTTGTGTTCTAATGGTTCGGTGCTCTGTCACTTTCTAAGGAAGTTTCCTGAGAAAGCTGATTTGTTTTTTTCTCAGTTTAGACTTTTTTTAAAGCCCGCGTGCATGCATGCATACACAGGAATTATTAATGTAGAAATCTTATAGGGACCCACATGGAGGGAAATGTCATTAAATAAATTATCGATAGATAAAGCCCTATGAATTTAAGAAAAAGAAAATCTATAGTAAACAAAATACATATGTATGATCAATTCTCTACTTTTCAAATTACTTAAAACTAAAAGGTTGTTATACCAAGAAAAACTTGGGGGCAGTGCCGTTCACACTATTCACATGGCACCATCAAGGTTAAGCAGTTGGTAAGCAAAAAAATAAATTCATAAATGAAGACGACGACAAAGGCAACCGAGTCATCATGAATTTATATAACTCGGAATATGATGAAGACATCGTTGAACAGTAGACAAGGCGGTAGTTGTTGAGGACGAGTGTTTGATTGTTTATTCTTTCGGCGTCTTTAATTTAATCTTCAAGTGGACTTTTGATTAATCAAAGTTGCAGAAATTTTGGGTACAATGATGGTCGAGTTGACCACTTAAACACGGTGGCAATTTGCTTGCAGAAATCCTTTCACTGAAGAACAAAAAACAGTGGATTTTAAGGTTGAAGATGAAGGCGTTTTCATACTTGTTATTCTTCTGGGTTGTTTTGTTTTGGTTCACCAAATTCATTGAAGCCCAGAACGCCACCACCGATCCTTCTGAAGGTACTCTCTTCTGAATTAAATTTTGATGTTCTTTTAACATGAATTTCTGGTTTTGCCGATTGTTTAACCGATGGGGAAACAGTGAGGGCGTTGAACTCGATCTTCCAACAATGGAATACACAAGCAGTGAATTCATGGAACATCAGTGGAGAGCCATGCAGTGGGTCTGCTCGCAACCATAGTGATGCTGTGTTTCAGGATCCTGCCAATAACCCTACTATCAGATGTGATTGTTCTTTCAACGGTGGCACTGTTTGCCACATTACTCGAATGTATGCACTCTACTCTTTTTCTCTCTTCTGCAGTACTCTACCTGTTTAGCGTTTACAATTGTTATACTATGTAACATTTAAAATAAGGCTAATTTGATCCGAGAGCAAGCCTGTTTCATACTCATAACTAGTATTAAGTTGAAAGGTTACAATTGTTAAATTTTTCTGTTAGTCCTTCTAACATATATGGATTATGAATTAAGTCTTCATACTCTAATTTTATCAATTTTACATTTACTTTTCAGCATGAACTGAATTTGCAACTTATGCAAACTACCAATATTAAAACTTTACTTACCATCGGTTGGTCTGACAAAACGAGACATCAAGTCTCTTAAATAATATCGAGAGTTCAAATTATGATATTTTGAATAGAACAAGTTAGGTCTAGAGAATCATTCCATAACGAGCTTTCAATAGTACTGAATCTGAATTAATCGAATAATAGGTGATTATATCAAAATATATATCAATACTACTTATTAAGCATGTACATAATCTCATCTCACTCTGTCACAAGTTTTATTCATATCAAGTTTTAAGTGTAAATCCCTTATTAGGACCACAAGAAAAGAAGTCTCCGACAAGGTTGTTCTCTGTCTCCTCTCCTATTCAACTTAGTTGGGGAACTCCTAAATTTACTGCTTCTTAAAGCAGTCTCTGAGGGTCTGTTTTGTGGACTGCAGATTGGGAGGAAGGAAAATGCTTTTAATTTATCTCATCTGCAATTTGCATATGATCTTATTATTTTCTTAGGGCTTCCAAAACTCAGATTTCTAATGTTAAGAGGGTCTTAAGGGTGTTTGATGTCATGTCTGGGCTGCAATTGAATCTTAAGAAAAGCAAGTTATTTGGTGTTAATACGGCTTTAGAGGAGGTTGAGGAGTGGGCGTCGTCAATTGGGTGTGCAGTGGGGAATTTTCCTTCTGACTATTTAGGCTTGCCGCTTGGTGCAACTCGGAATTCTGCCTCTCTTTGGGATCCTGTTGTCTTAAATTTTAGCAAGAAACTGGCAGGTTGGACAGCTACCACTCTTTCATTGGCAGGGAGGTTAGTTTTGATTAAATCGGTTCTTTGTTCACTCCCAACTTACTTCTTGTCTCTTTTCAAAATTCCCTCTTCGGTTAATTCTAAACTCAACTCAATTATGTCTAACTTCTTATGAGGAGGTGGGACGGAGAAAAATAAGATCCATTGGGTTAGTTGGCCCAATGTGTGCAAATCTAAGGATGAGGGGGGTTTGGGAGTGATCGACGTTAGTATTATGAACATAGCCCTTTTGGGAAAGTGGTCTTGGAGGTTTCCAAATGATAAGAATGTTGTTTAGAGGAGGTTGGTATGCTCTAAATACAATCTAGATCCTTTTTCATTATTGTTTAACAACAAAATTCTAGCTCAAGCTTCTTGGATTTGGAGGTCTGTGGTGAATTCTCATTTTAAAGAAAATTCATTTGGCTCTAAGTTTCGTAGCATGTGCAAAATTCAAGTTGGTAGTGGCCAGTTTATTCGGTTTTGGCAGGACAAATGGGCAATGGACTGCCCGCTTAAGGTCTCCTTTCCGAGGTTGTTTGTTATTTCTTCAAATCAGTGTGGTAAACTAATTGAATTTGGCGAGTTTAGTTCTTTGGGATGGATTTGGAATATCCAGTTGAGAAGTAGTTTGGCAGATTGGGAATTTGAACAGTGGGCTAATATGATGACTATCATTTCTAATTTCTGTCTGTCGAGAGAATCTATCGATGGTATGATTTGGAAAGGAGACGAGGCTGGTGTTTATACTGTTAATTCTTGTGTGAAATTATGTAGCTCTTCTTCCCAAGAGAGCTCTTTTTGGAAGAAAATCATATGGAAAGGATTGGTGTCACCAAGAGTTGAATTTTTTTTGTGGCAGGTTGTTATTCAAAAGCTGCCAGTGAGGACTGAACTGGTTAAAAGAGGGGTTACGGGTATTGCAGGTTTGTCTTGTCCTCTTTGTAATTTGGTTGATGATTCTTCTTCACACTTATTTTTCTCTTGTGCTGTCGTTTGGTCACTTTGGAATAAATTTGTGCAGTATTGGAGTCTTAGTTTGGTTCTTCATGAAAATGCGCAGAAGTTCCTCCAAGCTCGGGAAGAACTTAATCCTAACTCTTCTATTTGGAAGTTAATTCTTGTTGTTGTTAACTGGACTGTTTGGAAAGCTATAAATGATATTGTCTTTGAAAGAGGGACTTTTGACCAAACAAACCTATTTTTTCTAGCAAGAGTAAGGCTTGCATCTTGGTTCTTAGTTAAGTTTGTTGACTCGGTTGTTTCTTTGAATTCTCTTATCAGTGACCCTTCCCTTGGGGATTCTTGTTTCCCATTTAACAAATCGATTGTCACTTCCATCCCTTGGTTCCCCCCTCCTAAGGGCTGGGTTAAATTGAATGTGGATGCAGCTACAAGTTCTGATTGGAAGAGCAGTGGAGTTGCGGGCATTCTAAGAGATGAGGAAGGTCTTTTTTTAGGCTCTTTTATAGAAGCTACTGGTCCGGGTCCGCCTATTTTGATGGAGTTAAAGGCTGTTTAGAAGGGATTACATTTCTTTGATGCAGTGAGACAAGGAATTAAAGGTCGGTTGATTATAGAAATAGACTGTAAATTGGTAGTGGAGTGGGTTAAGAATGGAACTTTGTGTCCCCATCTTTTTGTCTGTATTGTCAGGGATATAGTAGTTAAGCTTAAAGAAATGGAGGATATTATTAGATGGGTTGTAAGGATAGTCAATATTGAGGCTGATGGGTTGGCTAAGTCTGCTATTGGTTAATTACAGTGTGTTTAGGGGTATCTTATTTTGGGTTTTTACGTTTATTTGCAAAGGTCTTTTATTGATGTTGTAATCTTATGTTCTTATTAATGAAGTATAAGGCACTCTTTACCTCCTTCCTCTGGTAAAAGAACTCATTTGAGTTCCTCAATCATGAAGGGGGTTTTTAGTGAGGCCTTCAATTCCTATAAAAAAACTAGTTCATGTGCAACAATAACATTGTTTGTGACTATTCGGCCTTTCAACCTGTAAACAAGAACCTTGGAAGCAATTTGTATCGATAGACAGCATCAATGGCCTTTTGGGGATGTCTAATATATCATTTGTATTAATATTTTACACGTTTTAAACACTTTCATCAGGAGGGTATTTGCTCTAAATATACAGGGGGTGATACTAGAGGAGATCTTAGGTTTGCCTTTTCTGACAGAATTGTAAGAATGTTCTTTCATTCTTTTCCCTCTCTATTTTCTAGACATGTTTTCCAAATGATTACAGGTTTTATAATGTCTGATTGTCTGTAATAATTCATATTGTATGGTGATGCAGGACGATTGATAAGAACTTCTTCTCTGGTCCTTTGCCAGCATTCATTGGAAATATGTCCAGATTAGAGACACTGTGAGTACCACAGATAATCAGATAACCAGATTTGAAACAACATTCATAGAATAATTTTTTGTTTAATTATTTTACTTTGTATAGGTCAATTGCCCAAAATGTTCTATCTGGACCCATTCCCAAGGAGCTTGGAAATCTCAAGAATTTATCTCTGCTGTAAGAATTTGAGGAACTCTGAACTAACTCTTTTTGTCACCATTATAAAGGATAAACTAGTTCTGTTTTTTAAGCAAATTATATGTGGATCAATATGATGCAGGTCTATGAGTAATAATAATTTCTCTGGAACACTGCCTCCTGAGCTTGGTAATTTAGCTAACCTTGAAAAACTGTAAGTTTCAACTTTCTTTAGTTCTCTGTAGGGGGATGTACATGATTGTCTTTACAAGATTACCCTATGAAATTATGACATCCATTGGTTTATGAAAATTTGGCAGATACATTAACAGTTGTGGATTCAGTGGTGAGATTCCCTCAACATTTGCTAACATTGAACGACTGCAACTTGTGTAAGAAAGACCCTTCTTTATGCTTATTGCCTTTTCTCCCTCTTGGTCCGGAAAATCACCTTATTAACAGTAAGCTCGATCGAATTTCAGGTGGGCATCGGACAATGCATTCACAGGCACAATACCAGATTTTGTTGGCAATAACTGGACAAGGCTTAGTTCATTGTAACTCATCAAACATCTTGGTTTATAATCTTCATATAAGTTCTCTTCTTAATTAGCTTTGTTTAGATTTTTCATCAGATTGACCAGTCTGCCAAATATTTATACAGGAGATTTGAAGGGAATTCTTTTGATGGTCCAATACCATCCAGCCTTGCAAATCTAACCTCATTGTCTTCTTTGTAAGTAGAGATATCTTGCTTATTTTCCTCTGTTCACATTTTCATGCACGATACATGCATGCATGCATATGTCTATATGTATACACATACTTGTTTTTAATGCTTGTTTATCATGTAGGCGAATCGGCGATATATACAACAGGAGTTCTTCTCTTGATTTCATAAGAAACCTGAAGAACTTGACTGAATTGTGAGTTAACCACACTCTTCTTATATTCATCTGCTTTCAGGGGAAGAAAGATGAAATGTTTTTATATAATTTATCTATCCTTTCTTTTGATTTCCTATAGGGTTCTAAGAAATGTCATGCTCAATGGTATTTTTCCATCTTACATCACGGAATTACAGTCTTTAGAAAAGCTGTAAGTTTTATCCAAAAGTTAACTGCTTCAGTAATTCATGATATTCGCTTGTTTCATGTTTCTAATTTCTTTTTGTTCCAGAGATTTGAGCTTCAACAACTTAACAGGCCAAATTCCAAGCGGTTTATTCACTATGAATTCTCTCGAATACCTGTAAGCAACAAAAAAGATGAAAACCATCCCCTTCAATACTTGAAGAATCTCAGCTTAAGACTTGTGGTTTTCATTTGATATAATTCCCCCCATTCATGCAAGTTGAAATGGTCAGGTTTCTTGGAAATAACAGCCTATCAGGTTCCATTCCAAGCCAAAAGAGTGAAGCTCTTCAGACTATGTAAATTAACATCTTTCATTTGATATACTTCTTGCAGTAGATTTTTACTCTATACGTATTTTCTACTAATGTACTTCTCTATGCAGAGATTTATCATACAATTTACTGTCAGGAAACTTGCCTTCTTGGGTAAATCCAAGCTTACAACTGTATGTATCTAAAACCAGGATACTTCCTTCACTTACCAGCTCAAATGGAAGTAATTGTTTCATGGAATTTTATGTAGGAACCTTGTGGCCAACAATTTCACACTTAACAACTCAAACATAGGGTGAGTTATCGCCCTGCACCACCGAATTTTCTGATCTCCTAAACTTTGTTGAAAGAATTCTTTTGAACTTCCTAACCAAGAAATCGTTTCGAAATTCCTCAGGCTTTTTCCAGGATTAGAATGCCTTCAAAGAAGCTTTCCATGCTCCAGAAATGCTCTACAATGTACTAGCTAAAACTTTTGAATCAGTATCTGGTTTTGAATTCTTAATTATAAGATTTAATCTTGACCAATGCTTAATGCTTTGCTAAAATTTTTCAATGTCGGCATTGGCAGATACAAACTTCTCGATTAAGTGCGGTGGAGCAGCGATGATATCTGATGGGATATTATTTGAGGCTGATGATAGCAGACTAGGCGCAGCAGCATTTAACATGACCAGTACACGGAAATGGGCAGTTAGCAATGTAGGCTTGTTTGCAGATAGAAAGAATCAACAATATGTCGAGAACACCAGAGGACAAGTGAGAGGTACCAACACTCCGGCGCTGTATCAGACTTCAAGGCTGTCCCCTGGATCACTCAGATACTATGGCCTTGGCCTTGAGACTGGACTCTATACCATAAGGTTGTTCTTTGCAGAAACGGGTTTCCACGACCGAAACTCACAGTCCTGGGATAGTCTAGGAAGGCGTGTTTTTGATGTTTATATTCAGGTAATATTATATTTATAGTAGAAATTCATATCATTCTATGTCCAAATAGTTCTTTCCATTGTCCCTATTTGCAGTGTTTTCAATTATCACAATTCTGTTCACATAATTTTACTCTTAGAAATAGCTGTTGCTATAATATATCATCGATGCTTGATCAGGGAACTCGGCGATTAAGGGATTTTGATATATCAAAGGAGGCAGGTGGTGTTTTGAGAGCAATAACTAGGAATTTCACTATTAATGTAACAGATAACCATCTTGAAATTCACTTGTTTTGGGCCGGTAAGGGGACTTCCGACACACCGGAAGAGGGTTATTATGGTTCGTCCATTTCAGCTATTAGTGTTGTTCCAAGTAAGACACCTTAAACACTTATGAATCCTCGTGTTATATATGCTCCATATGCTTCTCTCCGGTTCTTTGTTTCTAATACATTGATCTTGTTTTCAGATTTCAGAGTCAATGGGACACCGTCAGGCGATCCTAGTACGAACCACACGGAATTGATTGCTGGTGTTACGGTTTCTGTTGCGGCTTTGGCTTTGATACTTATAGTTGCAATTATTTATGTGAAGAGAAAAAGAGAAGATGAGGAGGAGGAATGTAAGAACATCAGAGAAGTCTCTTTTTCTTATTTTTGTGCTCCAACTCCCAGGTTACTAATTTCCTTACTTGACTCTGCAGTGCTTCTTGGCATCAGTCCTAGGCCAAACACATTTAATTATTCCGAGTTAAAAGCCGCCACCAAAGACTTCAGCCCTTCGAACAAGTTAGGAGAAGGAGGGTTCGGACCTGTGTACAAGGTAAACGATGTCGTTAACATTTTCAGCATGCTAACATGCTTGTTATACAATGATGAAATTACTCAGAATGTTACTAAATCATAGTATATGCTTCAGGGTATACTTTCGGATGGGAGAATCATAGCTGTGAAACAACTTTCAGTAGCATCAAACCAGGGGAAAGAACAATTTGTTACCGAGATCGCTACCATATCAGGCGTGCAACATCGTAATCTTGTCAAATTACATGGGTGCTGCATCGGAGGGAATCGGCGCCTTCTTGTTTACGAGTATCTTGTGAACAAAAGCCTTGATCAGGCACTCTGGGGTATATGAACAATCTAATTAAAAATTCATGCTTTCCATTATTTGCTGATTGATGAACAACTGTTTGAGATTTATTACACTACAAATGCAGGAAAAAATAAACTGCATCTTGATTGGACGACTCGATTCAATATCTGCTTATCAACTGCAAGAGGATTAGCTTATCTTCATGAGGAATCTAGTCCAAGGATTGTTCATAGGGATGTCAAGGCAAGTAATATATTGCTTGATGGAGAGCTCATCCCAAAGATATCTGATTTCGGATTGGCAAAGCTTTACGATGACAAGAAAACGCACATCACCAGTTGCGCTGCTGGAACGATGTAAGTTCTCTCGACGCTTTTGTTCACCGGTACTACCTTAATAACATACGATATCAGTAACCATTATTCACCAATGCAATGTAATTATCTTCAAGTGGCTATCTGGCACCGGAGTATGCAATGCGCGGACACCTTTCAGAGAAAGTAGATGTTTTCGGCTTTGGTGTTGTTGCTTTGGAGATATTAAGCAGTCGACCGAACTCTGACAATAGATTAAAAGAAGACAGAATCTATCTTCTTGAATGGGTAATCCCAAAGGATACATCTCCCATTTGCAGTACTATTTGTTCCAAGTACCTTGATCATTAATTTGTTTCTACAATATCTCTAGGTGTGGACCCTGTATGAAAAAAACCAACTCTTGAGCCTGCTTGATCCAACATTATCGAAGTTCGACGAATACCAAGCTCTCCGAGTGATAGGGGTTGCACTTTTATGCACTCAGACATCACCGTCTATGAGGCCGTCCATGTCTCGTGTCGTTGCTATGCTCGTTGGAGATATTGAAGTGAGCACTGTTAAAACAAAACCAAGTTATTTAACTTACGGTGATTATGATGATATAACAGGCAGCACCTTCACGAATGAAGAATCTCAGACATCCATTGTATCCGATTCCGGCAGATGTGGAAAGGAGTAAGAACACTATTTAAGGGCCGGAAAATTGACCAACAAACGCTCGAAAGTTTTATATTGCTGAATTCAAAGGGGAAGGAAGGTGACAATTGTTTGTTCCATTCCTGCAATAGTACCATACCAGATTGTCTTTAGAGAAACATAGAATTTATGATGTTTCTTCCAACTCTGCGTACGTTGTGATATAGATCGAGTTGTCTTGTAATATACGTATGACATAATTATGAAATTCAGACAAACAAAAACCTGTGGTCGATTGGAAAGCTTCTTGGAACTAATTAATGTTGTTCAGTTTGTTAATCTGATATATGCTATGTAACTAGCCAATTAATCGGCGAGGACAATGTATATTGATATTTGTAAAAATGTGCATTGTTTAAGATTTGTGTAAAGATCATATCATAAGAACAACATCTAACAACAACAGCAATAATAATAATGAAGTAACTAAATAAAATAATAAGCAGAAACTGATTGGTAAACAAGGGAAGCACAAAAAAATGGTTGAAAGTAAACCTGGATATAGAGCATTTTTTACGTAGCTGCTAGAAGAACTTGGATGCAGATAATAAGGCAAACAAAGCTTTCACTGTTTCACAATTCAATAGCCTTCCTTTCAAACAATGGTTGTAAGTAAACATGGATGATACTGGTGATTTCTCAACGTTAAATCAGGGTTGGAATACTCTGTGGAGGAGAAGAAATGATATTTTGTTTGATAACCAATTATGTGGAAAGAAGCAGCATTGCCGATGATAGTTTGCGTATGTGGGAGGAGGTTAGGCGGTGTAAAATTGGATAATTTTATCATTAAAATGTATTTTTTTTGTTACTTTAACTCATTTTCTTTTAATTAAAGACGTCATGTTATGCGTTCTAATAGATCATATGTTCACTTTTTAACTGATAATGGTAAGGCATAATATGAGAAAAGTAGTAACTAAAAAAAAATAGTGTAAAAAACTGGTTTTACTTTAAAGATAAGCCTTCATCTAATGTTCAAAAGCCAATATAAAAGATTATTTAAAAGAAAATATTAAATATTAGATGAGTGCGAGACAACGTGGGGATGTAGCTCAGATGGTAGAGCGCTCGCTTAGCATGCGAGAGGTACGGGGATCGATACCCCGCATCTCCATTTTCTCTTTAACTATGTGTGTTTTTTTTGCTATAAAGAAGAATATGGCGGTCGTTTTTAAAACAAGTTGGTGCAAGTTCATTCATCCTTTGCAATTTATTTTTGTTCAAAATTATTTTCATCATTTGCCCATTCTCCAAATAAATGAAGGCTTAGGCGCTTAGCCAAAGGTGTCTTTCTTTGCTGGAGCAGTGTCTTAAATCAAGCAGTTCGTAAACCATTTGATTTAAGTGCCGACGGAGATGTCATTTCGTGGACCGCTTCGATGCATGCAAGTAGAATCCGTTGGGTTTGCAAGTGAACTGTTTGATCAAATGTCTGAAAGAAATGCAGTTTCATGGAGTGCAATGATTACTGGGTATGTGCGTTTGGGGATGTTTAAAGAGGTTTTTTGGAACTCTCTAATGATATGCGGTTTTGCGGTTTTCGTCCAAATCATGCTGGAATCGTGGGAGTCCTCACTGCTTGTGCATTTCTTTGGGAAGGAGACAGTTGAGAATGGTGTAATATTCTTTGTCCATTTAACAAGAGACAAAGCTAGAAGTATAGTAAAGGAGATGAACTTGAATCCATTTGTTGATCAATTCATTTGTAATATTCATTGTTCATATTTGTAATATTCAGACAGTATATAAGGAGTTGAAGAGAATATACAGTGTATATATTTGAAGATAATGCATTTAGCTTTTGCAAGCATTCATATCATCTATGTGCATATATTTGACCAAAGCCTGCATCCACATATATTCAGGAGATGGTTCCTTTTAAGAACAGTTTTGAATTGGTTGTGATAGAAAATGTGGAAAAAGAAATGCACACCTCGACCTAAAGAATAGAGAGGCAGCCAAATTCGTGGCACGTGGAGGAAGTTTGTCAAGTGTTTACAATGTCGTAGGTGACAAGTCTACTGTTCAAAGCTTTAATTGTCCGATTTATTCCACCCTTTAAAAGGTTTGAAACATATTCCAAGTTCCAACCTCTGCTTTTGATCTATTGGTTAAAGCGTTTACCTTTTAACTTGTATTGTGATTTGTGAGTTTAAATCTTAAAGATTTATTTGTTGTTTATGATATATGAATGTAGCACAGTGATTTATTAGTACTACGAGTGTACCGGGAATAGGGAGTAGGGACGGTGGGATGGATATTTGATCTGAATTCAATGAATTTCATCAATTCAATTCAATTAGTTTATTTCATCTATTATATATTTCAAGATAATTACAATAATACTTCTCTTTTGTATTTTTTACTGTAAACTTTAGGTCGAATCGAACACAAATTTTTACTTAAAAAATTGAATTAAATAAAATATCTCTAACCTAAATTCAATCGAATTAAATTTAAAACATTTCAAAAATTCTACCAATCTCATAATCATCTCTAATGAAATTCGAAAAACGTACTCATGCAAGGTGGTCACTATCTGTATAGGGAGCTACACTTATTCCTGGACCCCAGAGCTTTTAAGTTTATAGAAAATTGGAGTTTTTCTTTAAATTTGGAAAGGGAAACGAGACAAGGCTTCCAAGTGGACTTGGTATAATTCCATCAACCAAATTGCACATACCCTCAGACTTTTTTTAAATAAATTAATTAAATCTCTGACTTTTTACATTCAATTATTTTTTATTTTAAAATTTTATCAATTTATTCATTTGATCAACGTTCACCGTTAAATTTAACTATTCTTTTAGATCAATTAACGTCACATATCACGTTATCGTATTTTCGCATGATAATAATCTCTGGAAAAAGTTAGAACTCAACAATAAAAATTGATTAAATGGTTAAGAGTCTTTAGAATTGACACTGTCATTGGTAATCACCCTAGATTAATAAAAAAAATTAATTAAATGACTTCATTGATTTAATATAGCACAAATCAAGAAATCTCTGTAGTTAAGAGATTTGTTATTATCCCTTGAAGATTTGTGTTCGAGCATCACGTATGCAATGATATGAACCTTCATCGTCAAAGAATTGAGGATCTTTAAACATATACTACTTTATATTCACCCTCATTGAATGCCTTCATTGATTTAATATCTTATTTCGAGGACCTAATTGATTTACGTGATCTCAGAAAAAGGACTCGTGAATATGCTCACTCGAATAGTGTTAATTATTTAATGATGGATTAAAATAAAAGTTTATATATGCTAATGACCAAAGTGCAAACTTCCTAAAACTTTAGTTATCATTAGTGTGGCTTACCCTTAATATATATGTTATTTGGGATACTTAATACTTTTACCATGACGGAGACGAGAGGCATCGGAATCAGTGCTGCCCAATAAAATTAATTCCCATCCAAAGAGACATTGGATACTGCCAACTTGCTGATGGATCAAATGGGTGGTACCAAAAATTAGGACACATTGTCCTATTTAATGGGAGGAACCTACTACCTAGGAAGTAGGGACGCAATCGGTGCCAAAAGCCAGTAAACAAATGGATCGATAAGATACAAACTCATTTTTTTAATATACACGATCTTTAAATGTCTTTTTAATTAATATCGTATTAAAAATTAAGTTATCGTTTTTAATTATGAATTAATTAAGATTTTATTTTAAAAAATCATAATCAATTAAATCCTTTTAGTCGGGGAGGATTTTTCTTTTAGATTTTATATAAAAAATATAATTAATTAATTAAACTCGATTGTATTAATCTTTTTGTAAAATTTATATTTCAAGTTAGGTTGGATTTTTCTTTAAGACTGATTGAGTTTAGATTTGTGAAGAATCCGTCCTGATTTATATAATAAGTATATGCGGAAAAATAACGTATAAAGTATTATATTAAAATTTATTTTAATTTTATGATACTGAATCAATATTTTCTTTCGAAGGTGTTCTCTAATAGTCGTGAGACGTAAGAATAATGTGTGCAAAGTAACTTTAACAAGGTATGATTTTTAATTTCTAAAATTTTAATTGTCGTTAATCATATTAACTATAATTTCAAGGACATAAAATTGGAAAAAATGTAATATTATTTTTTTTATAAAAAAAAAATTTTATTTTATATTATAATATATAATAAAAATAAATTATAATTTTTATTTCTATATTTACTCGTTAACAGTTTACGGTTTACCCGCCCTTAAATAAACTTCCAATGTTGTTATTAAAGGGCAGGTTCAAGTGGACTTTGGTATAATTTACGGTGCAAATTGCATAAACTTTAAATTCACTTGTATCCATCAAAATTAATTAATTATGTTTATGACTTGACCTAGCATTAAAAAATAAGGATAAATTAAAGTTATGAACACAAGTCATTTTAGGTTATTTATCTGCTCAGTTGGTAGAGTACAAGGTTCTGAATCTTGAGTCGTGGATCGAGTCCACGGAGGTCATTTCATAATTCGGAGGTCTTCTACGGAAGTTGCCTCAATCTGATATTGGACAATCTACTATCTTACCTCCCCTTACCCCATTACATATGGAACAAGGGACATCCATTTATGTAGATAAACTCAATGAAGCATTCCGATTAATTGCCCAATAATAATTTTATTGAAATAATCATTACAAGTTGTCATCATTTAAAGAGGTAGTAGGTATGAAGTTTACATCAACAAATAAAAGCGAGATCATAGACTTTCTAGATTAGTGGGTTTCAACATCTTATCAAATATATTTTTAATAAAATATTAAAATTAATCACCAACATTCAATGTTTTAATGTTAACAGTTTGTTAGCCAACGATTTTCATCCACATATAATATTTTTACTCTAAAATAAAATGTTGAGGGACAAATACTCTAAAAAAAAGAACATAGTCAAACGTTAAAAATTATTTTTATATTATACCTATATTTTTTTAAAAGAATGTAATGACCTTGTAATAAATTATTTTACAATAATCCTTTGGCAGATTAATTTTAAAATATTACATCGATGAGAAATGTTAATCCCGTATTAGAAAAAGAAAAAGTTTGAAATTTATTAACGATAATGTTATATATTTTAAAAAGTTTGATTTAATCTCTTTAAAATTTATAAAATTATAATTAATTTCTTTAAAATACTGTACAATTATAAAATAATATATTAGTAAAATTATAATTTATTCCTAAAAATTATAATA